CAGAGCACAGCGCCTATCATTAAAATGTTTTTGTAATTATGTAGGGAAGGATACCGCTAATATGCTGAGAATATGAGAGGAGTAAGATGACTTTTGTTGATGTGGTCTGCTTATAGCCGAGGCGATCTGGTGCAAGGAGAGAAATAGGAGTGGGGTGGGGGGGGTAAACAGTTGGGGATGAATGATGAGGGATGAAGTGAGGAGGGCAACATGGAACAAAAGTTAGAGAGGACAAGATGAAAGAAGGCAAATGAAGACATCTGGAAGAGTTTTTGTTTGTGCATCCTTCAAGCTCTAACTGTGTCACTGCCAAGACGAAGCCTACGTGTGTGTGTGTGGTTGCACTGAATCTACGCCTGGTTTTGTGTGCACAGACATGCGAGCAGTGTATCAGGTCATCAGCCCTGGTCCCAAACCTTCAGGGGTTTCCACATCTTGACTTTTAAGCAAATATTTGGAGGAGATCAAGAAAAGAGGAAGATAGAATCACAGGGAGAGAAAAAGAAGGAAAGAGCAAGAGAGGGACAAAGCAGGCCTTGAACTTCGAGCTCTGCTGTTGCTGGCAACTTCTCAAAGGTTTTTCTGTGAGACAAGGGGCCAGGCGAGCGGGGTCAGTCTGCCTTTAACTTCCGCCTCCAGCTCCACTGAAAGCTGCGAACACAACACTATCACATACACAGAAATCAAGTTTTACCAAAAGCTCTTTCATCCATAAATAAGGCTAACTAGCGGTCATATCCTGTTCAGCCAAAACACGAGATCAACCCAACCCTGTAGATAACGTGCAGTGGAAAAGTGCCCTTTCATTTTTGCTCTTGGAAACAACCAGAAATGAGTAGATTCATTCAGAACCTTGTAAAAGTTAATAGATACCATATCGGCTGAGTCACGCTCAGTTAGCCACTAGCCTGCTGAGTCTTAATGAGACGAATTAACCTTTAAATGTTTATTACCTCTCAACACTGAAGGGGACAGAAGACGAGAGGGGAAGAGACCACACAGGAGGAGTGAGAAGAGGACAGAGAGGAGACATGAGGGGGTGGAGGCCGGGGCATGCAGGAAACAGAGGGCATATTCCTTCTATTGACCACACAGTGGGGGCGTGATGGGCTCTAACCAGCCAGTTTTACCACACACATACACACACACACACACACACACACACACACACACAGTAACCGACTCCTGTCCATGTGCTTGATACCAGCACTGTTTGGACTGGCAGAGACACTGAATGGATCCAGCTTATTATTTCAATAAAGCAACCACAATTTGAGTGCAAGGAGTGTGTAGTTGCTTGGATATGTGTGTGTGTGTGTGTGTGTGTGTGTGTGTGTGTGTGTGTGTGTGTGTGTGCAGTCCTCTCACATCACCACCCCACCCCTTCATCCAGCACTATCCATCACATTTTGCAGGTTTCTTGACAGAAGCTGGGAATTAAGTAGTTCTGTCGTAGAAATGTCTGAGAGCGTCTGGTGAATGTTTGAGTACGGTTTTCGAATTTTCAGCGCCAACCAGCGCTGTGGTTGGTCTGAGAGAAGTGAGGAGAGTCGCATGTTTCAGAGTGTGATTATCCAGGTAGCCAGGGGTGGAAATAATATCCTGCTTAAACAGAAACACTGTTATAGACTTGAGCAAGTATAAGCAACAGTACTTTTATTAAAAACTACTCAAGTAAATGTAAAAATGTGCTATTTTTAAGTAAAATATATAATATATATACAATGTAATGTATATATATACTGTAGGCCACATATCAGTTGGGTGGAAGAACTATTCAGTCTTTACTTGAAGAAATACTGATATGTTGGGGGAAATTATTCTAGTCTGCAGTCTTTTTGCCTAGCTTAGCTTAGCATAGGATGGAGTCTCTCCACTGGTTGCCTGTCAAACTCACATTGACAAGTAGACCAGCACATGACCCCCATTGATTACCAAACCCAATGAAAGATCAGACTTTCCTGAATGTGTCATAACAGCATCATCTAAGGCTGCTCAGTAACTCTGGGTTAAAGTTAAAGTAGAACTACTGCTTTTACACTCAAAAAAGCACCAGTAAACAAAAATGCTGTCAATAGCAACAGTGCTAGTAATTAGTCACCTTCTTCTGTTTTGAGTGTTTATAGCTAAACAAACATTGTTGACCTTCATGACAGTTTCCATATTCATCAATTTTTTTCCTTCTAGTCTTTTAATCAAACATGTTGTTGTGTCTCAGGTGTGTGTCGCTATGCTCTGGGGATGTCAGGAGGGAAGATACAGGACGAGGACATTTCTGCCTCCAGCCAGTGGTCCGAATCCACTGCTGCTAGATATGGCAGGTAGGTCTCTCTCTCTCTCTCTCTCTCTCTCCCCCCTTAATTCAGTTTAAATTTGAGCTAGTAAACAAGGCAATGTAACACAAATATGTCAATTAACAAGCAAACAAACAACAACAATCAATTTCAACATGCAAAAGAACCAATATATTAACCTGGTGGCGTTTCACTGGATGTCCCTCAGGTTGTGGCAAGAGCTCAGATATTTAGCTGCCGATGTACAGAAATTTTGTTTTTCACCTAGTAAATATTTGAGTTATTTCTTTTCTGATTGTGATTCAAATTTTTTAGATTTCTGTAGATTTCTGGGGAAGAATAAAGCTCTAATTTCTGCTTATTTATCAGAGTGTAGCAAAAAATGTGTCTGTCGCCACTGTTTTCTGTGTGCACTCTCTCTCTCACACACACACATCATATGTTTACCCTGATAATGAGTGTGTGTGTGTGTGTGGGTGGTTTATCGTGCAAGGTGCCCGTGCCTGTTTATTTGCAGTAAGCCACAAAGTGGGGTATCAGTTCTACTTACAGCCACATGATTAAGGAGGGATTTGTGTGTGTGCAGAAGATCTTGGGTGGCCCTCAGTAAGTATGAGGATAATGATGTAATACACTTTCCCCATCCATCCTGGCTGTGTTTTCAGTCTCGCCCAGCTCCCCTCACCCCTGCCAGCCCCTTGCCCAAAATTAACACTTTAAGATGAATTTACGATGCAGGCTGTCACCGAGGTGTTTTTATAACAGCCTGTAAGAACTGAAATCCACCACCGCACTCACTTATACTTTCCTCTCACCTTTTCCTCTCCATCTTGTCCTAATTTTTCTTCTCCCTTGCTCTTTTCCCTTTCCTGCTGTAATTCTAATATGAGCATCCACCCACCGTTATTTCATCTTTTCCCCTCCTCTCCCTCCTTTCCTGTCTCTCTACCAGGTTGGACTTTGAGGAGGGCGACGGTGCGTGGTGTCCAGAGATAACAGTCGAGCCCGACAGCCTGAAGGAGTTTCTCCAGATTGACCTGCGCTCGCTCCACTTCATCACCCTCGTGGGCACCCAGGGTCGTCACGCGGGAGGCATCGGAAATGAGTTTGCCCAGATGTACAAGATTAAGTACAGTCGCGATGGAAGCCGCTGGATCTCATGGAGAAACAGGCAGGGCAAGCAGGTCAGTCAACCTATGAGTCAGTGCCTCATACTGGCTGGGGTGCAACCCATAATTTTTACTGTTTAATCTATTTTGACCTTTATAACAAATGTCTGATAAAGATGCACTGTGTACTGACATTCATCACCTGCCTCCAGGTCATATTTTTATGGCCCGTCATTGGTTATACCTGTTATATCCGACCTGTGTTTATAGTCGTAATAGAGATAGTATATCAAACTGATTCATTAATTCTTCATTATCTATAAATGATGTAAGGAGGCCATTACTTTATTATCATGCAGATTCAGTCATTCTGAATCATTAGTGAGCTTCTTCATGAGGTCAAGGTGTGTATGTTTTACCTCCAGGTGATCGAAGGGAACAGGAACGCCTATGACATTGTGCTAAAGGACCTCGAGCCGCCCATCATCGCTCGCTTCGTCCGATTCATGCCCGTCACAGACCACTCCATGAACGTCTGCATGAGAGTGGAGCTGTACGGCTGTGAATGGCTGGGTAAGATGTGGGTGAGATAGAGGGGAAAATAAAGGATATGTAAGGACTGATGAGCAGGGAAGCTGGGAACAAAGATCATAGCTGTGCTGAGGTGCAAGTCCTAACCTTTGAGCTCATAAAGACAAGACATAAAAAGCAGCAGGACACTGTAAAGAACAGTATCGTACACTACAATAATAATATAACTGACTAAATACCTAATGTTAACCAACCTAATGTTCCCCTGTTACCCCGAAATATAACCACTTTGTGTCTTTGTTTTTGCTGAAAATCAAAGCACAAGTTAATTAGTGCTTCCAGTTAGACAGTAGTACTTGGACACCCTTTTCTTTTTGTTCTTTTAAAATCTCAAGTTTAAATTTGGCAGGCTTGTCAAGACTCATGCCACTTTTGGTGCTCCCTTATGGGTTCTTGCACTTTTCTTGCACACATGCTTGCGTATATGCCTTAAATCAAGTTAACCTTAAAGTTAAAGGTCCAGTGTGTAAGATGATCTAGTAGCAGACATTGAGTATAATATTCATAGGTATGTTTTCAAAAGAATCGTTGTGTTTTTGTTACCTTAGATTGAACTGTTCTGAGTCCACCAGGTTGAACCGCCATGTTTCTACAGTAGCCCAGAACAGACAAACCAAACACTGGCTCTAGACATAGCCTTTTGCCTTTTTCGGGAGTTTCACAGCCAACGTAGTTTATCCTACACGCTTGGTTGAGGTGCCTCCACTGCTAGGTACCGCTTAGTCCTCCACACTGGTCCTTTAAAGCAGAATAACTGACTTGTCAAATGTTGGCCTGCTTTGCTTGTTAGAGTACAAAGGAGCATAGGGACGTTTTTCGAAAAATTCAATATAGACGAGGGTTTGTCAGCCAGACTTTATGGGTCCTGTGAGCAAAATTATTTCTTACAGCCAAATTAATATGAGATTTTTTCAGGGGTCTAAAAGAATGCATTTAAGCACTAAAAGTACGAAAACCTGGCAAAATTTGATATCCAATCAAAAAAATGTATGATGCTCAAAGAAAATTTAAGCATTACCAGGCCCTTTAATAAAACATTTCACATGCTGCATATTCTGCATCTGCACTTCATTCTACCCATGCCTTGTGTGTAATTTTTTAAGTATTGACTGCTTAAAAATCTCAATTACGATTTGACAAAAACGTATGTGTTTTTTGAATCATGCTTTTCTTGAGTTTTGAATGATGGACTCGCACAACATCTAAAAAATGAATGTTCTTTGCCTTACAGATGGTCTTGTGTCATACAACGCTCCAGTGGGAGAACAGATGAACTTGCCTGCTTACCCTGTTTACTTAAATGACTCTGTCTATGATGGAGCTGTCATCCACAGGTGTGTGTGTGTTTCATTATTCTTTCCTCCTTCCTTTTTCAAACACCACCACATTGCTTCATCATTGCTATCATCCTCCGTCAGTACTTTTTCCCCTCACCTTGTTGTTGCCTGGTCACCATGGTGAAAGCAAAGAGACAGACGGTGGTGAGTGGGTCATGGTGGTTTACTGTTAGGCAATACCTCATGGGAATGACTGAGTCAACTGTGCTTATGAAGTTTAAAAACCAGAATGAACCAATCAGTCTTTTGTTGACAGTAGTGTTTGGATTATGGCGTGGTGAATAATGTCCTCCATGACACAGGCAGGCTTCCTTGTCTCTATCAAGGCAGAGAGAAAAGAAAATGGCCTTATTACAATATGCCAGCAACAGTAGTGAGGGAATTGGTTTTACAATGCTGCCACCTAGTGTTAAATAAAACTTTTTAACATATGTGTTTTTTTCTGTGTTTCTCAGTATGACAGAGGGTTTGGGCCAGCTGACTGATGGAGTGTGTGGTCTGGATGATTTTATACATAGTCACGTCTACAATGTGTGGCCCGGGTATGACTACGTAGGTTGGAACAATGAGAGCTTCCCCAGTGGATATGTTGAAATCATGTTTGAGTTTGACCGCACACGAAACTTCACCACCATGAAGGTGAGTCTCCTGATAATATGAGCTAATATTTTCAGTTTTTACACCCGTCAATAGTACTAAAAGTCTCCCCATGTGCCCTTTATCTGCACCCAGACCCACTGCAACAACATGTTCTCACGGCACGTCAAGGTCTTCCGCCAGGTGGTGTGTTACTTCCGCTCCGAAGCAGACTGGGAGGCCTCGCCGCTCTCCTTCAGCCCTGTGGTGGATGAGAAGAACCTCAGCGCCCGATTCGTCACGGTCAACCTGCTCAATCACATGGCCAGCGCCATCAAGTGCCAGTTCTACTTTGCTGATGCCTGGATGTTGTTCAGCGAGATCACCTTCCAGTCAGGTAAGAACTGTTAGTACACTCTGTAATTGCAGAAAGATCACAGTTTAATATTCAAATATGTCTAGTTGTACACTTTATTTATTCCTGCACATGTTACAGGTACAGCACTGTAGCACCCTTAAACAGTATATATATATATATATATATATATATATATATATATAAGATACAGACAGACGTAGGGCTGTCATTGCTGAAATCTCCAAAGTTATCTTTATTATTCACTGTTTATTATTTATATTGTCCTTGTTACATTTTACCAGTATTTAGCCTTACTGCAGATCTGGTCTCTATGGACACACTTTTCCTTGTTCATATCACATGTACACAATGAAACCCCAAATAAACAAATTTTCACACATTAATTTTCATATATACATTAATCTCTTGCAATATCTTTTGGTCATTATTGTACTGCACCGTTAAATTCACTGATCAACACAGTTTCAAATATATTACAGCATGCAGAATTGTTTATGGAACCACCCCGTATGTTAATCTAACCGAAATAGACCCAAGTTACCATCATATGCTTTTCCTGCTTATCACAGGGTAACAGAGTTACTCTGGGCGGGCAACGCTATAATGAAAGTGAAACCTGCGTATTTTAATCTCTCATTTGAACTAAACTTCTCTCTCAGCAGCAGCAAACACACTACAGCAATGTGTGTGAGGGTGTAACACATTACCAACCTTTAATACAGGGGAAAGGATGAAACAGGGAGACGTGGTCTGTCGTTGCTGAAATCTTATTTACTTAATTGTTATGAGGGGAAAACAGCGGAGCATGCGCAGATGATTGCAGTCCCACCCTGCCACCTGCTGTCGAAAAACTGCTGCAGAAGATTCATTATTTTGGTTAACAGACCATATATTAGCCGCTATAAATAAAAACATATATATATAATCTCAAATAATGAAACACCATAAAATCAAACAATTCCATTCACACAATTGTGATCACTCAAAGATTTGGAAATTCTGATAAAAGCCAGTTAAAAGTCAGTTTCGAGGCCTTCTGATTTAGATGAACTGTTCATTTTCTGATGAGCTCTGTGACATTTGGTCTTTCAGATACAGCCATGTACAACACAACCCTGGCTCCACCCAATACGGGACTACTGCCTAACACACAACCAGGTCAGTGATCACTCCACACACACACACACACACACACACTTGATTACATTAAATAAAGCATGTTGGGACGTTCATGACAAATAACAATATGGTATATTTTGTTGTCAACGAGCTTGTCTGAGCATTTGACAGTTTCAGTGTATCAGCAGGAAGAAATCAGTTCAGTTGACATCTTTATTGTCCCACAAGAGGACATCCTTCCTGCAGCAAGATGGTATAAAAACATAAACACAAACGTAGGTATATCAGAATTAAGGGCATTTATTGTACACAGAATAAATGTCAGATTCCTTAAAGAGAGGTATCTGGATTTGCTATGATGGATGTAGTAATGTTTCCCAGTTGATTCCTATTTTGCACATTTAGATTATACACATACCAACAAATCAGTGAGAATGTATGAAGCATCAAGTTTCTGTCAACATTAAAAAAACAACCTTCAACCTACATAGAAAATAGTTCTTCACACTTTCCATATCTTGCCCTTTAACAATAAGCTGACAGTGGCAGATGGTTTGTTAATTTTGTGATGTTGTGAGTCCAACTGCCTGTTGAAGGTTACTTCAACAATCAGGTCTGAGAAGGTGGAAATACTCCTTGAGTGGCTACTCTATTAGAAACACAACAGTGTATAAAGTCTGTGTGAGAGTCTGAACTCACAACTGTCATGTCTGAAAGGCTTCGTGCTGCATTCTTGATTTGGCTCATCTACATGGAATGAGATTATTAATGTTATTAGTTACAGCTGTTTGATAAGTCAGACCTCCCGCCGTCACAAAGGTTTATTCTGCTTCTGCAACACATTTCATTAAAATCCTTTAAATGTTTACTTTTGTAAACCAAAACTATGACTGATTGAGTGGTCGGAAGACTAGAAAGGCGCTTTTCAAGTTTCCTGTCCACCCAATTTTATTACAACAACAATGACAGTGGTCCCCCACATATACAGGCCTGCAGGCTGTATGTCTCCATGTTAAATTGATCTCTCCCTGTTCCCTTTCCAGAGGATGACCCCACCCACAAAGTAGATGACAGCAACACCCGGATTCTGATTGGCTGTTTAGTGGCCATCATCTTCATCCTTGTGGCCATCATTGTCATCATCCTGTGGAGGCAGGTGTGGCAGAAGATGCTGGAGAAGGTGAGCTCTCGTGCATTATGATTCCACAATCTTCTTTTGGGAGGCGGTCAGATCTGTTCCTTCACCTCCCCCACGTTCTTTATTATAGGCCTCTCGCCGGATGCTGGATGATGAACTAACCGCTAGTTTGTCAATACAGAGTGAGACATTCGCCTACAACAACAACCAGTCGAGTACAACCAGTGAGCAGGAGTCTAATTCCACCTATGAGCGTATCTTCCCCCTCGGCCCTGACTACCAGGAGCCGTCACGCCTCATTTGTAAGCTGCCAGAGTTTGCTCAGAGCTCAGAGGAGCCTGGTAGGTGGACTCACACATCAGCTTACATATGCACATCCATTTAAATTGACATTCAACGTGGTCCCTTATCTCATTGAGATTCCTAGTTACAGTTTGGTGCATTGTGTTCCAGCTTCTACCACCACAGCAGCTTCTAAATCCACCACAACTACTGTAGCCCAAGATGGTGTCCCTCACTATGCAGAGGCAGACATTGTAAACCTGCAAGGTGTGACTGGAAGCAACACATACGCCATTCCTGCAGTTACTATGGACCTGTTGTCAGGGAAGGATGTAGTAGTGGAGGAATTCCCACGAAAGTTACTCACGTTCAAAGAGAAGCTGGGAGAGGGCCAGTTTGGAGAGGTGTGTGCTCAGCTTTCCTTACAGCAATTAGACAAGCAGTAGACAAGATAGACCAACTATCATATTCTTCCTCTCCTCTCTCTCCTTTCAACTTCCTCTTCCTTTCAGGTGCACCTGTGCGAAGCAGAGGGAATGCAGGAGTTCATGAATAAAGAGTTTTTATTTGACATCCCCGAGGAGCAGCCAGTTTTAGTGGCTGTGAAGATGCTTCGTTCAGATGCCAACAAAAACGCAAGGTATCGACTCCAGATGCACGTTCGATCTGCACCAAATACCTCGTTTATACCCTGCACCTGAAATTGAAAATACATCCTGTGTTGAGTTTATATAATTCTGATTGCTCTCTGTGTAAAGTTACTTTTATGTGTTTTGGTAGGAATGACTTCTTGAAAGAGATAAAGATCATGTCACGTTTGAAGGACCCCAACATCATTCGCCTGCTAGCTGTGTGCATCTACAGCGACCCTCTCTGTATGATCACAGAGTACATGGAGAATGGAGATCTTAACCAGTTCCTGTCCCGCCACGAACCCGAGGGACACCTTGCTCTGCTCAGTAATGCATCTACTGTCAGGTGAGTGGAGTTGAATGAAGAAGTGAGAGACAGTTATATGTTTTCTATTCTATTCCCAACATGTGTTTTATTTTCTCTCCAGCTTCAATAATCTGTGCTACATGGCTGCTCAGATAGCATCGGGGATGAAGTACCTCTCCTCTCTAAACTTTGTTCATCGAGACTTGGCCACGCGGAATTGCTTGGTGGGCAAAAACTACACAATAAAGATAGCTGACTTTGGCATGAGCAGAAACCTGTACAGCGGGGACTACTACCGCATCCAAGGCAGAGCGGTACTGCCAATACGCTGGATGTCCTGGGAGAGCATCCTGCTGGTAAGGACCACAACTTAATGAAATACTTTTATTATGGAGAAAATTCCTTTATTTCATGCAGAAAAATGTGCTTGTCATCCTTTTCTTGTGCAGGGTAAGTTCACCACAGCGAGCGACGTGTGGGCCTTTGGGGTGACACTGTGGGAAATACTAAACTTCTGCAAGGAGCAGCCCTACTCTCAGCTCACTGACGAGCAGGTGATAGAAAACACAGGGGAGTTTTTCAGGGACCAGAAAAGACAGGTGAGTGTCATTGCGAACATTTCATCTGCATATAAGAACCGGTGAATGCCGGGCTTCATTTCTCACTCCCTGTCGTGCAGATCTACCTGCCTCAGCCTGTGCTGTGTCCAGACTCGCTCTACAAGATCATGCTGAGCTGCTGGAGGAGGAACACAAAGGAACGGCCCTCCTTCCAGGAAATACACCGAGCCCTCCTGGAATAACAGCCTTAATCTGGGGCTGTGTTTAAGACAGTGATTCCCAGTCTGCTCATCTCTGGAAGGATATGGTGCATGACAAGAGTAGACCATGATTCAGACACAATCCAGGTTTAAGCTATCCTGTTTCAGCACAGAAACAGGGTGAGAGCTGTCTGTGGGCTCCAGGCTACAATTTGGGAAACACTGTTTCATGGACTTGCACTCTAGAAAGATGGACTACCAGAGACTTTTGGTGTGTGTCAGTTTGAATTTAACTCGCACAATCACGTTGGCCAAGATGTTTTATAGACATCAGGTATTCTTAGAAAACTCTACTCTGTTTTTAAAGTACACCAAAAACACACACAGAAACCTGATTAAGGTTTGGTTGTGACGTGATGAGGAAGCCAAAGTTAAATGTAGCAAGTGACTTCGGCACTTTTGAAAATGTGTTTTAATTTCTTTTTTTAAATATGAATTCAAATTTCCCATGTTACAGTGTTTGATAACACTTTATTGTGTTTTCTGTTGGAAGACTGCTTGAATGTAGAGAAGTGCAGCAAAGCATTACTGTCACATTTCATTATATTTCAAGTGTTTCATCTCATTTAGAATAACAAGGAAATATCAAGTAACTCAGTCTTTCTCATCTCCCTGCAGTTTTCCTACAGTGATTTAAACATGAAGTGTATATGACTGCGTATTTTCAATAGATAAGTCTAAATCTCAAATAGCAGTATTTTGTATTAATATTTATATGTTCATATGTGTTTGTTCTGTTTATGTTCTGTTGATATAATTGTGGATTAATATGCCCTTTAAGTTGTTTGGAGTATCATATTTGATTTGATTTCAGTAACTTTCCTGCTCACATGTTGGATCTAAAAACGGCTTTACAAATAATTATTTAGTTTCCTACTGCAAGCTGTTATCGTCTTGCATTGATCACAAACTAATATCAGCAGCAAACTCTTTGATAACTGATGAGATGTTGCAAGATGTTTTATCAGTAATGCAGGCTGTGCAATGTTTGTGTTTACAGTCAGCATCAGTGAGAAGATGTTACTGAGTATGTTGTGAACAGATTAATGTATATATGCTTATAGTTCGTCTCAGTTGACAAAGAAAGTCTAAAATGCCTTTGAATTCAGGAATGTAGAGGAAATGTGTTTAATTGGAACGTCTGACTGCTTCAGATTAGTCTATATTAGCTCATGAAAACTATCGAACACAGCTAATCACCCATCTAAAGGTTCAAGTTATTTAGTCAGTTTGCTCTTTCTTTTATTGATGTATGCTTGATTCTTCTTCTTTTCTTGCATAATTCTATGTATAGTTCTCTGTTAGCTTGGACTTCATACTGCATACCACTGTTTCAGCCAGTTCAGCTGTATTTACAGGCTATATCCTCTTATTTGAGGCCCCTGTCCCACTTACGTCATCCTTATCTTTCTGTGTTTTGCAAGCAAGCGCGAGTACAAGCTATAAAATATAATATTCAGTTTGGAGACAGATTTGTGAAGCAATTTGTGATTCCCATCAGATATAGAAACCTTTTCACACCATTTACAATCTTCTCAGTGTTATTAATAAATCAGAGGTAGATGTATAGCTGTAAAAAAAAAAAAAAGGAAAAAAAAAAAATGTAATGGCATCCTGATAAATCTCATGATTAGTTTTATTACATATTTGTACTCAAATGTTTGTTTTTCTGTGAGAATGTTTTTATATACGTTGTAAACAAAAGTTGTACATTGATAGACCAAATACAAATAAAATTTAAATAGGGAATTGTATCCCCCTGAGAGCTCCTGTCTTATTCATAAGTACTGAATATGAGATAGTGTGTGGGCGGTCCTTCGATCTGAGCCGACCGGTATGAGGATCTTATTGGCTGAGAGCTTCTGCATCGTCCAATCACAATATGGAGGCGGGGTGAAAATGATGACTCACAGGACAGACCAGAGAAGTTTCCATGGACCAGACACAGAACTTGTTGCTTTGAAAGAACATCTGGCATTAATAGAGTAATTTAGTGCAGTAGAAGTGTGTTCTGCATGCAGATTGTTTCCAGTTTGGACCAGAAAGATGAATAAGGTGGTTTTGGTGACCGGAGCAAACAGGTAATGGCTGTTTTCATTGTTTTAATAGTGAACCTCAAGTCTGGTATCTTTAGTGTAGCCTAATGGATTTATGACACTGCGGTGAAGTTGGTTTTAAGTTGGATGTTCGAAAGCTCGACAGGGGTTTCATTTAGGGACAATCAATAAACTACCATAGCAATCCGCAGATTCTTTTTAATAGCTTCCATGTCATATGACCTTTTAACACGTTTCTATTGGTTCTTGTATTTTATATTAATATTTATATGCAAAGTGACCGAGGCACTCCTAATCAATGCTAAAGTATATTACTACACTCCCCAACTAGAACACACCTCTTGTATATTATATTAATAGTCATATGGAAATATTTCAATATAACTATGAATATATACATTTAATATAACTATTGGAGGTTTTTTTCAGTAGTTTCCAAGTCATGTGATCCAGGGACTCCTAATTCAATTCAATTCAATTTTATTTGTATAGCGCCAATTCATAACAGAAGTTATCTCAGAAGACTTTTCAAATAGAGCAGGTAAAGTACATTTTAGATGCAATGTCTTGGTCGTAAGAACCAATCAGAATCAGCTTTATTGGCCAAGTATGCACACACATACAAGGAATATGAACAGAAATAGATATATAGCTAAAAACATCAACAACATAGCGGAACAAAGATAGAAAAAAATAAACATTTAACCATAATGTTCAAATAAGTAGGTTAAAAAAAATAGATGTATATATGAATATATATAAAAATCAACGATGACCAACAACATAAAATGCCTATTCATGTCAAACTCTGTAAATCGTAAACAACAGAGTGCAAAGAGTGCTGGAATAATGATGATAATGATTAATGTAACAGTCTTTATTGAGGCTACAGGAAATATATGGATATGTTACCTTACATTTCCACTGTACAGTGCTCCATTACTGTATAATGCATGTTCGCCTGCAGTGGCATTGGCCTGGCGCTGTGTGAGCGTCTCCTCTCACAGGACACAGAGGGTCTCCAGCTGTGTCTGGCCTGCAGGAACATGCGGCGGGCTCAGGCGGCTCGCTCTGCCCTCCTCGCCTCTCACCCCACAGCCCAGGTGGCCCTCCTGCAGATGGACACCAGCAGCATCTCCTCAGTTTTTGCTGCTGCACAGGAGGTCAAACTCAGGTGGGAGGACAGACTCACAGCAGGAACCAGATAGTCATAAATACAGAGCAAGTTGAGCATTCTGTGTGTTACAGAACTGAATATGGTTGTCTATTGCAGGTATAACCGGCTGGACTACCTCTACCTGAATGCAGGCATTATGCCAAACCCACAGTTTGATGTAAAAGCATTTTTCAAAGGCCTCTTCTCCAGGTACTTTGTTGATTTTTCATGTTAGAAACACCCGACTTCTGAAGCTTCTCCAAATTACTGAGCTGAGTTCAGATTTCTATGATGTCTTCATTGCAGCCATATCATCACCATGTTTGCCACCGGTGAGGGGATTCTAACACAGAAGGACTGCGTCACTGCTGATGGCCTGCAAGAAGTTTTCACGACCAACCTCTTTGGTCACTTCCTGCTAGTGAGTGAGCTGTTTTGGCTACTGAATTATCTAGTGATTGACTTAGGGAATTTGACACAAAACCATGTTTCCTTCAGCTTTCTGCAGGGTGAGCATTCTGGTTTACCCTTGATGGAATAAATATAGGCGATACCAGATCTGTCTGTCACTTAGCAACACTGCTCATTAAAAATTAACAGTATATAGTGTTCTAGCCATAAGGTCACTGCGGACAGGATCCTGCTTACTGTGCATTTGCAGATGAAGTGTGACGTGTGTTAAGTTGCCATCACAGAGATACTCTCTCAAAGTTCCTATTTAGACTTTCCAGAAATATAAATCATCTCTGCTGCTATATTAAATATATATATTTTATTGAAAAAAAACCTTAAAAAAAAGTTTAGACAGCTGGAATTAAAGGCCTTTTTAAAAAGACTCTAGTAATATCTATGTGGAAAGAGTTTTTAGTGTTGTTGCTGCTTAAAATCTGTATATTAACCAGTTAGACATAGATATGCTTTCATAAGTGTATAACAAAGTAGTAAGGTGCAATAATTAGACCTGTTCGTCACAAAAATCAACCAGGTTTCTAAAATTAAGTTGAATTTTCAGCCTCTTTCTGTCTTGTTTCATGGCAAACTGGCCACTTTTCTGTCATGATAACATATTATTTAAGACTAAAACTGAGCCCAAATGACTTCCATCATAAATGACTGTTGTTCTCCTGTGTTATGGCCCAGATCAGGGAGCTGGAACCAGTTCTGTGCCATGCAGGCCGAACGTCCCAGCTGATCTGGACCTCCTCCAGTAACGCTCACCGCTCGGCTTTTAACTTGGAAGACATACAGCACCAGAGAGGCACCCAACCTTACAGCTCCTCCAAATATGCTTCTGACCTGCTCAGCCTGGCACTCAACACACGCTACAACAAACAGGTCTCTCACACGCCTCATACATGCCGTGTATCACCCATGCCTGCAAGGCTTCTTTTTTTTTTTTTACCTCCCATGATGTTGATGACTGTAATCATGCTTTTATTATGCTTTAGGGTTTGTACTCATCCGTCATTTGTCCTGGTTTTGTGATGACCAATCTGACCTACGGTATCCTGCCCTCCTTCCCAGCCTTCCTCTGGACCCTACTTATGCCTGTCTTTTGGCTTGTGAGTGCGAATTATTAACAAACTCCTATTTTTGCCCCGTTTGTCTTTGTGCTGTGATGGATGTGAGAAGAATAACAAACTAGAATTATCTGGTGGTATCTGAATGCATCTCTCTCTCATGATCTCAGATAAGAGTGTTCACCAATACTTTCACCCTGATCCCTTACAATGGAGCTGAAGCCCTGGTAGGTAAAGCACATTTTTAAACTTCCATACACACATTAGTACAGTACAGTATTCATGAATGATGCTCTTTCTTGCAGTTCTGGCTATTTAATCAAAAACCTGAATCACTGGACCCTCAAGCCAAGTACCACAGCTTAACATCTGGGCGTGGCAAAAACTACACACAACCACGTAAGGTACGGCAAAGGAACACGATCAATTAACGTTAAGTTTGACTAGTCAAAGTCTGTGTGGTGAGCTTTGTGTCTTCTGTTCCGCTTTGCAGATGGACGTTGATTTGGAAACATCAGAGGCTTTGTATGAGAAATTACTGCAACTGGAAAGTGAAGTGAGAAAGAAACTGAAGGAAAAACAAAAAGAATCCCAACAAGTTCACAGTCTTCCTGCAGGACCTGGATCATCTTGATGGGTATCACACAGTTCTGGGATGGAGAGTATTTTTTCCTGTCTCACAGGTCACCAGGGAGCAGCATGCACACGGGCTGTCAGACCTCACAAAAATAACACTTCTCTGCCTGCTACTGGAACTTGCAAGCCTGAATTCACAGCACAAAGAAAAACAACAAGTGACAGTGACTCTATGATATTATTATAAGTTTGATTTCCTGTTTCCATCTTTATTGTCTGTATCAGGCATGAAGTGAAACAACCAGAATAATGTATGTTTGGATGGGTTGGTAAAGAGTTTACAATAAAACTGAGCATTGCCTGTTTTCATCTTCAGTGCATTCACTCCATAAAGTGTGATATTATATGAGGAGAACGACACAGTTTTGCAATTATACAGCCATGGGCGGTAGGCGAGGTCACCAACTGTTAAGTCTATGCGGTCCAGGAGGGACTATTTCCAATTTGGTTGTTGATTCCGTGATCCTCCCGGCAAAATGCAGTGCAGTCTGACAGCAGGCTATCCGTATCATCCAAAAAGTTTACATAAGTGGTCTGTGTAAGCCCCTGTGCGGTGTATGGCGGTGCCGGCACATGCGTACAGGCGCACCTGATATTCCGCTCCGGTGGATTTGAGGCGCAAACCCAGCTGTCATCCCCGTGTTCCGCTGCTTGTTTCCCAGTCCCACACTCCTCCTCTTCTCCGCTCAGTTTCGGGTTGCAAAAAGCCCACACCATGCCGCAGAAATAGACGAAAAAGGTGCCCATGATCATGACCATGAGCGCGTACGACTCTATCATGGCTTTTTTGACTGGAGATGTCATCTTTGGATGCGCAGTAATAATAATGGTTTTCTGAGTGTGTTCAGGACTGACTGTCAGAGCGACTGTATCATCCTGTGGGTTGGACCTCTTCAGTAATGTGAGATACAGACAAGCAGAGAATAAGTGATTGCTATTGCTGCCGCCTCTCTCCTTGAACTAAATGTACAGTATACGTATATTGTGAGAGCTGAGTGAGGATCAGTCAAACTGTAGGTGGAATAAACCCATTATACTCCACTCCTACAATTAAACATGCAATTAAACCCCTTCATTAAAGTTACCTTAATATTTGAGGATAAATCTGGATTCCAGTGAAATACAGAAGTGTACAGTGATTGTCTCATAGGAAGAAAGCTGGTATTTGGACAATTATTGATTATTAATTTAATGCTGCATTCAATATACATGTGGGATATTTATTTGCTTTCACTTTCAGATGTTATTTGTAAAACCAGAAATGGTAACGTTGATCATTAAATAGTAACTGATTTTCAGTAGCCCCACTGAGTCCTGTATGATAATATGATGGAGGGACAGCTTAGTAGAGCTTTGAAATCCCTCCAGACAGTAAAGAACTTCTGCCTTTGTGAAACTTTGTGGACTGGAAATTCAGACCTGGACAGAATTTAGAAAAACAGACAAAGCTGAACATAATTATGTTTTAATGAATGAATGATTTATAATAGAGTTATATTCTTCATCACTGATGTATTTTTTAAAGGTTAACTTTTTTATTCTGTTCGTGTTTGGTTGTCTCTACTGAGTGTAAATAAGTCATCTTTAAAAATCTTCATCTTTGAATTTACATTATATACATTTAAACAGACCTGAAGTGTCCGTTTGTCTCCCTGACAACCACGCAGGTCAGTGCTCCCTAACAAGCCCATCAGCTGGCCTTCCTTATAAGGTCAAACACCAGCAACCACAGATCCCAAAATACCTTCAGCGATCAATGAGATTTTCAGGTTTTAGTGCCTTTTTGTTGGGCTTCACATTTGAATGTGCGACCAAGTTTTAACCACATGGGTCAAAAACTAGGCTCCCTTCTTAAATGCCACATCAAAACCATGACATCCTGTGTGAATGGTGTGCTAAGACCACTCACAATGATCCCCTGATACCATCAAATCTTCAGATTAAAGCCGTTTAAAAAAGGCTGCATAATTCCCACAGGTCTCCTTCATAATAGAAACATACAATATTGTAAACATTAAAACACTCACAACTGTAAAACGTGTTTCAAACAACAAAACTATGTGTAGCCTCAGATGCAAAAATCTAATTGCTCAGAGCAGAAATGAGGCCTAACAAACCAAATTACGTCTTTATTTAAAGAAATAAATGATTTTTTAAAATTTTAATAAAAACATTTTAGTCTGTAACTCTTGAACCATTTCAGTTATAATCAAACCTTTTTATATATTAATTTTTCATGCAGTCAGTTTCATCTTACTAGTTTGAGTTTTTGTCAACAATTCTTAAAAACGGCTTCTTCTGCTAAAATAATTGATCTTCTTATGATAAGTAAGCAGTGAAAACTCAACAGGATGTGTATATGACAACCTAATATAGGTTGGTTTCCTGTTTATGATCAAAAGAGTAGATCACATCCACTCTGTACTGGAAGACACGACAAACTTCCACCAGCCGTGAATAATATGACCTGTGATGTTTTTTAGATGAAATAATTCTCCTCCTTCCAACTTAGTTAAAGTCATAACCTAAACCAAACATACATTGAACATATTAATCCACATACTGCAGGCTGTAGTGTGTTAACCCACTGTTAACTCCTCTTCCTCTGGTCCAGTGTGAAGAGGATTACTGCGACAGAGTAACTAAGGATGCCTTCTGACCAAACTATTGAGCCTTTGGCCTTGTATGTAAATGTTCCCATGTTTAATCTTGTGTACAGAACCACATGCTATGCATCAGGTTGTTTTTATTACCCCATATCCAAATACAACTGTGAAATACTGTTCTCACTAGCAGTACATGCAGGGTTTAAAGAGGGTCTTGTGACTCTTGGGTGCAGTGTGAATCCTTGTTGAGTCTGTCACTCTTTGATGATAATGGTGTCAGTTATAATGACTAATTATATGTTGACCTTTCCTCACATCTTGTCTTCTATCTAGACTGAAACATGTTAGCCACAAACAGATGCACCTGCTTTCTCTAAGACGTTTTCAAAGGTATAATAAAGAGAGTATAAACCGGGTTGATGTAGTAGTTGAGCCCTCTTTAGTCTGAAAACCGGAACACTCATGTGGACTACAGCTATGAGGTCTGAGGAGGTTTTCTGAGGAGTCAAAACAAGAGCTCAGAGTGTGTGTGAGGGCACCCATGCTTAGCTTCACAGAAGGCAGGAACACTGGAGAGGAGAGAATTGTGGGTAGTGTAGTTTCACCCTTGTGTATTCCGTGACTGAGTCAACTGCATCTCATTTCCCAAAAAACTACATTTCCCATCCGCGCCAACTCCGAGGTCCCGGATGTCTATCGCGCCGGAAGAGAAGAAGGTCCTTTTCCCAGCCATCTTGTGGCTTCATCTAGCGAAGTGTTCGCACCAAGCCTCATAGAATCGGAGGAAAATCCTGCTGAAGGGGCGCCATCATGCCCGGACAAATGCAAGAAGGTTTTGGCTGTGCCATAACCAATCGGTTCGACCAGTTATTTGACGACGAGTCGGATCCCTTTGAGCTTCTGAAGCAAGCCGAAGTAAAGAAGAAGGAGGCTCCTGCTCCTGGTGCCGCCAAGACTCTAGCCCAGGCTGCCAAGCAGCAGAAAAAGGAGTCCCAAAAAGACAGAAAGGCCCCACTATCTGATAAGAAGGAGGAGACCCAGGCCCCCGTCCCACTAAAGAAAGATGGTGAGATTTATTTCTGCGTTTTTAGCTCTTAGTCAAGCTACAACTGAAAGATGTTAGGCTAAGTTGCTGACTAGCTAGCAGCGGTTCGTAAGCCCCCGTGACATGAGGTCCTCGTGGCTGCTTTTGTGCCGCTGTTAGCTGTCAGCTGCCGGGGCGAAGACACTTACACACACGGTGTAAAGCAGTGGGATGTGTGGGGCTTAAGCGATTTGGTGATAAACCGTTTGCAGGCCAACTTGTTTTGGCTCGCCTCCCCCCTCCTCCGCTCTCCCCTCCGGCCTTGTTGAACAGGCAGAACCCGAAAGCCTGGCTAACAGGAGAAAGTGGCCTCAATATGTTCAAATGTGGCTCCTGTCAGGTCGTGACCGTCAGGAAGGAAACTTTTTTTTTTTTTTTGGGGGGCACACTTTCATGGATTGACCGACACTATGATTTTACTGGATTTCAAAAAAATGTGTTAAATAAATCCCGCGGAGGGGGGTTTAGTAAAATCGTACACATGCCAGATACGAGCTGTTAAAGTAAAGTTAAACGTGTTAACTCTGTCGTCGGTGGCTTTGCAGGTGGATTTGTCAGACATTAGGAGCAGCATTGATCTCACGGTGATGAACCTCGTGGTTGTAGTGTGGGGCGTGTTAAAACACAGCCTCCAAACTGCCACTTCCCATTGGTGAACAATACAGACTCAATGCATGTGATCAACTCAGTGCATTTACTTTCCCATTTGTTTCAGTAGTTATGATCTATGGGGATTGTCTAAATGTCACATTTTATCATGTAGTCTGATTTAAAAAAAAAAAAAAATCCCCTCCAGTGTAGATATTGGGGTTGCAATGAGTTAGATAACTACATGCAGAACTGAAGCATCCAGAGTCAGGAATTGATTCTTGGACACTTATTCACGTGTAGTTATTTGGCCATTATCATCATGTAAGTCTGCCAAGCGTGCTCACTATCTGTTTGCCTGAGAGAAGATGAGACAGGTGCGCCGACTATGGTGCACCCAGCTGCTGCCGTGTAGTAGAGGGTGTCTATTTTGGTAGCTGGTGATTTAGTCAATGGGTGGGACTTGTTGTGTCACACTGGGCCAGTGGCAGTCAACCATGTGCCATGGAGGTTTAAACACTTTATTAACCAGAGTGGCTTGGTGATTTTACCCATCAGTAGACCTTTCAGTTGGAATAATTTAGGAAATAAAGAGTGATCACGCTGCAAATATTTGATCCCTTTTCTCCCACAAACAGATTATCTTTTTGTGCACTAAATGGGTTCAGTTGTTTTACGTTTATTAATGAGATTACATTGCAGACAGAAGAAAGTTGCATAGTATTTAATACCAGCTGCCTTAGTTCTTTAATTCTTAACATTAATTGGAATTATTTGCTCCATTTAAACAGAACAATCATCTCCTTTTCTTTCTCTTGTCTGGGGCTCAGCAGTGGGTCCTGATATATCAATGCTATTGGTCCTCTAATCCTCCTGTTGTGGTCAATCCTAGGTGCCGGCATGAGGAGAATGGGCCGCAAGCCGGAGGGCGAGGGCTCCAGACCCCAGGGTGGCCAGGGAGAGGGGCGCCCCCCGACAGACAGGCGGCCTGTGGATAGACGGCCCCCACGCCGCTTCGAGAGGCCTGCTGGTGACGCTGGCGAGAAGCCTGAGGGTGGCGAATTCTCAGTGGAAAAGTGAGTTCAGTTTACAATCAGCCGATTATTAAAGTTAACAGCAACCACATAAAAGAGGAGGAGCGTGAATCCACTGCGATACCTTTTTTACAGGGTGTTTCCTAGCTCCACATGGGGCAGACGGAGTACTCAGTAGGGTGTGGGTATGGTGAGCAACTGTTAAAGGCGTTGCTTATAATGATAAGGCTTAGTATGTTACAGTTTTGCCCAAACTGCTGTAGGCGCATGCGGCTCTTTAGCTCACCAGGTTACTTTACTAAAATTGTTCAAATATAGATTCAAACCAACTGTAAACATCAGTCAATTTAGACTTAAGTTTAAAAAACTTAATCCCATTTTTGTGGAGTTGTAATTTTAAATAGTCTGAAATATTAAGTATGCATTATTAGCACCTATTAAACACATGAATGTACCAGTTTACTGCTAACTATCATTCTTTGGTAAGCTGGCTGACCACTCAAAAACTCTGATGAATAAAAAAAAAAAAAAAGCCTGTAGATGGCCCACCTTAGATGTGAACCTGGGATTTTATGGGGTTTTGATCATGTTCGTTGTTTCTCTCTTCAGACCCATTGGTGATAGGCCGATGAGAGGGCGTGGCGGCGGCAGAGGAGGCCGTGGAGGAAGGGGACGTGGCATGGGACGCAGCGATGGCTTTGATTCCAGAGGAAAACGTGAATTTGATAGACACAGTGGCAGTGACCGATCGTAAGTACTTTTTCGGCTCTTATATTGGCCTTAAATGAAATATATTCTTAATTTACACCAGGTCTGTTGAAAACTTTGGTTTTCATGCTGTGTAAGTGTCATGATCCTGGCTAAAACAAATGTTGTTTCAGTAGTCTGAAAGGTGAGGAGAAGCGTGGTGGAAGTGGATCTCACAACTGGGGCACCGTCAAGGATGAACTAAAGTAAGTTCTTCTATGTGCAGCATAACAGAAACTTTGCATGATGGGAGGTTGGGGAGTTGCAGAACACTTTCTTACTGAGAACCTAAGGAAAACATTTTTTAAAGCTCCTTGCGTGATGTATTCTTACGCAAGATAGTGTTTTATATAGAGATGTGTAGGGATAGGTTGGTCTTGGTAGACTTGGATATTCAGGTTCCATGTTCAGCCTGTGTCAAGGTATTCGAATGAGAAAAAATAAATCCAAATACACTCAGTTGCCAGTTTAGGTACCCTTTGCTGAAACTAATGCAGTGTAAAGCAACAGCCCTGCAATAACTCCTACCTTCATGAAGCTTTTAATATTCAGGTTTGTTGAAACTAGAGGCTGTAGTTTGTGGTCGTATTGTCATACTGTTAGTAATATTTAGTCCACTCCCATTTATATCAATGTCAACTAAATTATAAGTAACATCTGACTGTAATACAATTCAACAAACTACAACCTTTTATGAACAAATTCATTTAAATGAAAAGATTTAATATGTAGTACACGACACTTGAAGAAAAACTCAACATTATCGTCTTCATGAATCGTCTTTATTGGCCTTGCTGGCTGTTAACACTACACTGTTTAATATTTATACTGACATAAACTACATTAATTACAATTAATTACAATGAGGTTTCTATATTGTCAAACAGTTAAATAATTATAAGTACTATTTGAAATCTGACCATGTTTCTTTTTTTTTCAGTGAGCTTGACCAATCAAACGTCACTGAAGAGAACCCTGAGGGAGAGGAACATCCACCTGCCGACTCTGAGAACAAGTAAGTTCTTGTGTTTTTTGTTTTCATACGTCCTGATTAATGGGTATACCCTGAAGAGATTTTGGTTTTGCTGTAATTCATTCAAACCTCATAATTTACAATTGTTTTTGGGCTGCATTGTTCAACCAACTCAGATTATGTTAAACATAACGCTGTGACACTGTATCTGTCTGTGTCTGTTGAAGGGAGAATGAGGTTGAGGAAGTGAAGGATGAAGGCCCCAAGGAGATGACTCTGGATGAATGGAAGGCCATGCAGGACAAGGAGCGGGCCAAGGTGGAGTTCAACATTCGTAAGGTCAACCAGGGAGATGATTGGAACAAAGGATTTGTGCTGCACAAGTCCAAGGCAGAGGTGAGTCAAAACCATAGCTCTGCTCATTCTGAATACAACCATACAACCATCACTTTGAATTTTGGCGATGAGGTTGATGGACGATAATACAGGTGCTTATGTACACCTTGCTAAAATTTTGCACGTCCTTCATGCCAAACAGCAACTCACACAGCCCGTTGTCAAGGGAAACCCCATCCCTTTAGAGTTTCCAATGAGTAAGCAAGGCTGTCTGTACACACAAAGTGTTGCATCAGTTTCCTGTGAATGACAGCAGGGTGTATAGAATTAGTTAAGCCATAAATAAAAATAAAAAACCTCAGTGTAAACACAAAATTTACTGATTCATAGTTAAATGCATCTGTATGTGTGGTAACACTTTGGTGTGGTATTTTGTGTTAATTTTTGTGTTAATTTCCATTTCTCCAACCCAGGATAAGAAAAGCGAACTGATTGACCCTGAGATTGATGAGTCTAAGGTAAAATCTCTACGTTTGTTGCACAGTATCTGAACTCAAATCATACCTGTAAACAAAATGCATCCTAAAACAAAACATAATTGGCTCTTCACTCCTATTTTTCCTATACAGTTAGATGATGCGCATCACTTCAGGAAGCCAGCCAATGACATTACGTCCCAGCTGGAGATTAACTTCGGAGACCTGGGTCGCCCAGGCCGTGGGCGCGGTGGGCCACGTGGTGGCCGGGGCGGCCGTGGCCGTGGGGCTGTTGGCGGCGGCGGTGGTGGTGGTGGCGGCGGCGGTGCCGGCGGTGCTGCTGCCGCAGCTGCCGCTGAAGCTACTAGGCCGGTCCGTGGAGGAAGGACTGACAAGGTAGATAAATCTTATTGGAAGCTTAGCTGCTGTGTCATATCATCACCACCTAAGTATATGCATTGAAAATACGTGTTTTGTCTGCTTCAGGATTCAACACACCTGTATAAAAGAGGGTTACCAATTAAACTTAAATTCTGGAGTCATTTTAATCCCCTTTTAAACTCCATTCATTCTTCTGTAGCACATCTTCAAATGTATAGATTTTCTAACTCCTTGACTTCCTTTTCCACAGTCATCTGCGTCGGTGCCCAATGTGGATGACCCAGAAGCCTTCCCAGCCCTGGCTTAAGCCCTGGCTGTTGTCCCTCAGGCCTACAGGAGCCTCTTAAGCACCTCCACTATGAGGCTTGCATGTTCCTGGATCCTTCAGCAAAGTGAAATGATGGAGAAGAGTGTCATTATCTATGGCACTCAATGTGAGGACTGAGTTTTACCCAATAAAAACAAAACGAAGATGGAAAAAAAAAAACAGAAATTAACACAAAAAAAAGAAAAAAAAAGAAAAGGACTTCTTGCTACTCTGGAGCAACTTATTGGTAGAGGTTTTGTACTTGGAAACAAAGTAGCAGGGATGTTTTCATACAGTATTTTTTTCAGAGGTTATGCATTGTCCATTGATAAATTTTTGTAATTGCTGCTTGAAAATATGCATTTAGAAATGTAAGCATAAGAAGAGTGTCTTTAGCTTGGTGTGAGCCATTGCTTGGTCGCTTTGAAATAGGCACTGTGGAGCTTTAACCCAAGCTCATAGGCTCTGCCACACCAGGTATTTCTGATGAAGTTAGAGCTTCACTCATTGAGATTTACAGATTTTTTTTCTTTAGCACTGGGGTATTGTTTTATATTTTATACAGGAGGTCTATTCTTCTATGATCTTCGACCTGTAAATCTTAACTATTTTCATAAATTCTGTCAGACTATTTCACATGGTGCAAATAGAACACATCTTGATCTTGATCAAGGGATGCTGTCTGCAGGTGAATGCATTGATGAAATGGCGCCTAAATATGTATTAAGGTTCATTTGTACTGAAATGTTCTAAAGGAGGAACATTAGGTCATTTTTGAGGAACACATTGGTGATTACTCTCCTAAATTTGCATTGATCCTGAGACTTTTGTCAAGTGGATTAATTTGAAGTTGAAAGTTACTCCATGTGTTCTGATTTACTTGTATTTGGGGTGCTATAACGCCATCTTGTCTCTTCCTCCCTGCTAATTTCATCTTTGATTACTAGCCATGTTGCGAGTCAATTAATGCCTTTTGTTTTTGCTTTCACGAGCGATACGGAGAGGAAGTGTCTTTACACAGTTGAGATGTGGCTGTAGTCCGCTGGAAGCCCTCAGACCTTCTCCGACTGTTTACACTCCACTCGAGCATCCTTCCACAGATGTAAATTCGGCCCAGCTTCAGTTTGTTTCTGCAGTCTGTTCTGTGCTGATATTTTCCTCCACTGTTGACTTGCCCTGTAGCTTCCACAGTGGCACCACTGCATAATTGCTCTGAAAGAAATACGGTCGTTCATTGTGTGGAACAACTGAAGTGCTCTACAAATGTGTGAATTCTAGCCCTGCTATTAGAGACCTCTGTCGGTAAATAAAGATGGTCGATAAATCTTTTGCATTGTCACTTTTTTTTTTATCCAAATTGAATTTACAGATGTACAATACTTTGCTTCTGCTTACATTGACATATCTCCATACAAGTTACCCTCCTCCTGCTGTTAAAGGTGAGCATCCACACAAATCTTTACTGGAGTAACTTAGTCACCTCCCACCTCAGGATTTCACTCAAGAACTTGTGTGCAGAGCCTCCCCTGCTGACAGCACTGATAAACATTCTCTTACACCAGTCAGTTCACCCTGTTTTAGACCAGTAGGCCTGATAAGACATGGCAGATTAAAATAATGTTGCTGCATACATAGGTAAGTACTTGCAAATGCAGATGATGAAATCACTTGTTTATCAAAATAGTCCATAAGAGTTTTCATACTAAAACACTATACAAACATTCATTTTAAAACAGTTTTTCACTGTGTTAGCAGCCTGGCTCTAGGGATGGCAATGTTGGTCGGTACACCACTTTGGACTGTTTGAAATATCTCAACAACAATGGATTACGTTGATATTTTGCACATTCATGGTCCATAAAGGATCAATTTTGATTGTGGTGATCCTGGTGTCACCAGCAGGTGGCAGCATTTCTGGCTTTTTGTGAAATGTCTTGACAACTGTTAGATGAATTGCCATAAAACTTGTGACACATACATCTTGAAACAGTGGTGCAACTGGTTGATCGTGATTCTGATCTTCAGCAAAATGATAACAAATCATCTGTCAACATGCTGTAATATTACCAACCCCCACCACTAACAAACTTGAGAGACAATTTACCTTTATCCTGTTTTAGATGAGCTAAGATTGAGGTAGCATAGATGTATTTAAAGGCACAGTCAATATACAAGATGGTCAACAACGCGAGGCAATAATAGTCTCAGTAGAAAAACCACAGGTGTAAATGATGGTTAAATTGCTGCTTCTGTTTCAGGGTCCTGGTACTGGGCCTGCTGGCTCACTATCACACTGTTGTGGCTTAGTGGGACACCTGACACCTTTTATTAGTAACACCTGTGCTTTTCCTAAGTCAAAACGTCTGCTGTGAAAATGGGCCTATCAGTGCTTTCAGCATTGGGATGCCTTAATAAAACTTGCATAAATTACAAAATCTGATATACTCTGTCGGGCAGCCTGTACTGTGTTCATTTTGCTTATGTTATTAGTGTATCCAATGCTGCCCTAAAGTGAAAACTATGGTAATGCATGAAACGAAAACAAAAGTTCTGCAAACAGCTCTGGACGACTTCAGCGAGAGAGCTGTTCTTCTTACGGTTCTGATTTCAGTGAGCAAAAAACAACACTGAAACAGAAAAAAAGAAGAATCCAGTCACCATCTCCAGTCATTGTGTCCCGTCTCTTTTGTTTAGCAGTCTTCTTCCTCAAAAAATTGTTTCCACTCAAACCTCATCTCACCAAAGAGTTCTGGTTTCGGGTTAACACTAACTGTTCTGAAAGAAGTCATTGCAGTCGATTTTGACCGCATCCAGAGTCAACTTCCCTCCAAATGGCTCAATGATGATGTTGTGACTGGGGAAGAAACCCAGCATGTCTAAAAACGGTTCTTCGTCGTCCTCCACCTCCTCATCCTCGTAGATATTTTCTGGCCCGTGTCCGGAGATATAGTCAACGGTTGTGTTGGTGTCCAAAGAGGTATGCGTGTGGTCTGAGCTGTCTGAGTCATGGGAGAAGCTCTTGATGTAAATGACCGGCTCCGTCATCGGGCTCATGCTGGTTTGATGAGGGAGCAGTGAGGAGACGTCTGTAGCTGAGTGGATGTCAGTGCTCTGCTTGGGCAGCTCCTCAACATCCACCAGGATGGGCTCTTCCTCCTCCTCGGTTGCACTGGAGTTACTCGATTGCAGCTGGAGGTTCATCTTGCCCTGTTTTAAAGGGAGATACAGGCTTAAACTATGAACAGTGTGCTGCAGTGTACAGTAGTTTGTAATTCATCCATGTCTACTTAATTACCTTCTCCTGGGTACACTCTTTTGCCCATTTGCTGTTTGCAGGATCTGGCACATCATCGAGCTTAAGGCACGGGAAAAACACCCAGAACCTAAGGGGGAATGTGGAACATAGTAATTTATTTGTTATCAATTGCGGTTTCTCTGCAGAACTGTTGGGGAACAATAAGTGAAAGGTGGGAGCTTGTTAGTTGCTTTCACTTATAAATCCATATGGAGCTTCTGTTCCTCACGTACCTCTGCCTCACTGCTGAACTCTGGCACAGACACAACAGAAAGAGCATGATCAGGGAGGCGAGCCCACACATCAGCAGGAGGGATAGTTGGGTCTCCTCTGCAATAGTGACAGTGAAACAGGGAGATGTAAGATTGTACATCTGGCTCCTCTGGCGCAATCAGAAAACACAGCCATATAAAACATCAAAAGACACCAGCAACAGCTGTCATGGTGGAACATTTTTTTAAGTTGTCTGGTTAAAAGTGTTGTAAAATCCTTGTGTTTGGGAAAACCATTTGAAAGCTACTGAAAAATCCAGTAAGTGGACTCTGAGCTTAGTTTTTTTTTGTCTATTTTGAAAGTAAAATTTTTTAAATATTGATCTTTCTCCATCAAAATCTTCTATCCACTCCACAGCGGAGCATTATAACTGTACAGTCAACACTGTACTAATCAGAAGGTTTGCGGTTTGATCCCTGGCTCTTCGCTCTGCATGTCAAAGTGTATGTGGGTAAGATACTGAACGGCTTGCCGAGAATTAGATGAGATGACCGATACCACTCTCGTATATGTAAATATAAGACTATAGCCACAGACTAGTGAGCTTAGCATAAAGACTGGATCAGGAGGAAACTGCTAGCCTGGCTCTATCCAACAAAGTCTGCCTATTAGGACATCCAAAGCTTACTAAATTTTTGTGTGTTTCATCTGCACAGTGAACTAGCCACAACTTGTGGCTTTAGACCGGCTTATGTGTCGGACTATTTCTTGGCCAGGAGCATGTGTCAGCCAGCCAGCGAGCGGGGACACCAGGAAGTGGCTGCTGTAGCTTCATATTTACTGTACAGGCATAACAGTGGCATCATCTTCTCATTTCTCTCTTTGAAAGAAAGTGAATAAGCCCATTTTAGAAACTAGTCCTTTAAAGAAACTTGAATAGCTGCTTACGCTCGATGAAGAACTTGATCTTTTGACCTGCAGGGCCTTCTCCCCTAGCAGTTGAAGCAGTCATCCACAGACTGTAGACAGCTGGAGGCAGGTCTTTGATGATATGTGTCCTCTCTGATGCTGGCATAGAGTCTGAAACACACATTTATACGCACACCATTTTAAAGAAAGTTACTCATGTGACTGTCTGCATGCTACAAACAACATGCCATCAGCTCTGTGTACAAGATGTTTCAGTAAGATAACAACACCTCAGATAAATGGTTCTTACAAGACTGCCTGTATCCACTGCCGCTCTCTAAATAGATGGTATAGTTGGTGATGCAACCCCCACGCTGACCCCTGGGAATCTCTATCCAGGTCACTTTCACTTTGTTTCCCTCAACCTCTTCTTGGACTGATGGACCAGCTGCCGGGGCTGCAAACAACAAGCAGAACCCAAAAAAGATTCCTCAACAGGATGGATAATAAAGGAATATTTGAAACATTTCTTACCAGTTTAAGACTGAATTGCTGAATTAACACTGTTAAGCTCTTCTTAGATCTTACCTGATTCCAAAGTGACCACTCCTGTAAATCTTCTCTTACTCACTGAGCTCTCGTTATAGACAACATACACTGCTCCCTCATAACACTCAAATGGCTTTATACCTGCATAAAGAAAGATGGTGTGTGAAAGAGAGGAAAAAGAGAAAACGTGGTTGTCAACAACTAACCTGAAAAAATAATATTGGAAGACACCTCTATGTACTGTAACTCGACATGTCCCACCTGTAATATTGGCATGGTTGTCATTCCTGCCCAGCCTGACCCATCTGAGCTCCTCCAGCTTGTGGCCCTCTGGGTACCACTCCACCACATATGCCGCATGTGGCGGTGCAGTTTCAGGCTTTCTCCAGGAGATGGTGACAGTGTGGTTTTCTGTAGTTACTTGCACAACCTTTATGGGCTTGGCTGAAAAAAAGAGGAGCATGTATATATACTTTAACTGCTTAACCTTAGAGATAATCATTAGATTGAGTATTACTAATGCATCTGATATCACCCTTAAAAAGAGGCAAATTATGGCTTCATGAAGCTACAAACAATTAAACACTCATACAAAGTTAGCTTCTTTTTTTTTTACCATGTCGGTGATTGGTTGTAATTCTGGCAGGAGGAGACATCCCTTTGGAGTTGCGAGCCCACAATGTCACTTCACATTTGGCACAGAATGGGACTGAATAATTCCTGGCATTAGCACTAATGTTAGTGCCGAAGACCACACCAGAAGTTTGGTTCAAAACACTGACTCTGTACTCCACAATTTTCCCTCTAGTGATAGAAATGTTGGCCTCCTGCAGGCAGAGAAATGTTTAAAAGTAAATCACTGAGATTGGCACCATATATTTTCTTTTGTTGAAGGAAAAGAAACAGCAGATTTTTCTAAATCAACACACTGCAAGAACGACATGTGAGACACATCATTTCTGTTCAGCTCCTCTTTTCTTGTAAACTGAAACTGCGGTGTCTACTGCCAAGTTTCACATATCTCTCAGTGTCTTTAGGTGACGTTAAATGAGTATTGGTGTGTATGTGTGTGGTAGAGGGAGGGGAGAGGTGTGTGTGTGTGTGTGTGTGTGTGTGAGGGTGTCACACCTCAGACGTGGTCAGTGGTTGACCTTTAATTTGTGCAGAATGTAGCAGTAAGATCAGAAAGTGTTACTATGGCTACGGCACTGCATGCCCACACACACAGAGTGAGAAAGGGGAGAGGGAACGCAAGGAAAGTACAAACCATCAATCTCATGAAACTGTACAGCAGTGTTACCTATTTTATCCTTCACAATCAGGCACAGTTGGAACTACTGATGAACTCTGACAGTGATTTAAAACGTACCTTCCAATAAACTCTCAGGGATTTAAAGTCAGAGGCGGCTTCAGCATACCACACATCCAGCTCTTTCGCAGGAGCTAAAACAAAAGTTTTCAATAAATAAGGGGAAAAACATTGTTTACAGAATTTGCATTTCTTATTATTCCTAACTGATTGTATTAGTCTGTGATGTAACGCTTTAAAATCCTTTAAAAGTGAGAATCATCCAGTCTGCAGCTCTGTTGCATTTTCAAATGTGAGGTCTGTATCAAGTCCAAGTTTCCAAGAAACCTTGTCTGAATCAATGTATACATACACATTTTTATTTTTATTTTTATATGCTATGATATACAGACCTGCATACAGATCCAGAAACTTGTACACCACATAAAAAACATCGCCTTCAGAAAATCGGCAAGCCCAGTTGCTGGCGAAGAGAAGGAATTTCACTTCACTAATTTGCTACACATTCGGTTTCGATAAGGTCAGGAAAGAAAGAAAAATTTAAAATATGTTATAATTTTTACACAAAGAGCCGTGGGCTTTGTAGAACCCAAATAATGAAGAAAAAAAACAATTTCAACAAAACACACGGGGTTACGATTTCAAATCAGCACCTACTCACAACTACACATCTACTAAAGGACGTTATTACTTTCATACTGCAAATGCAACTTATTATTTATTGAGGTAGATTTGCTTCCTCAAGCATGTTTTAAATCTCTGTCAGCGGATTCTCATACTGTCCTGGATGAAACCAGTGGCTTACTGGAAGGTCAGAAATCAGTCTCACTGAGGTCGATGAAATAATCATGTTTAATCACGTGTAGACTTACGTGCTTATTCAGGAAAATGAGGAAGATAGACATAGAATATGTTAAGGGGTAAGTCACCCTTTACCTTAAATGTCTCTTATTTCTAGTCTGACCTCTGCTACTACTGCTGCTGCTGCTGCTGGCTGTTCATGGAAAGCTGATGTTACTGTTGCACATTCATACAGTGGCTTACGTATATGTACAGAGACCTGCATATCTTCACACCATCAGTATTACAAATATGCAGTGATATTTCCCATGAAGCATTAGTGTCTTCTTTACCACTTCACTTTTCTTCACTCTGGCTCGATGTTTAACTAAGACTCAACTATAGTTTTTATAAGCTCAGCGTAAGCCACTGTGTCTCATCATGAACGAACGATTTTGCTCTCAACACACAAACCAATAAGACCTGTTTCAGTGGCTTATATATATCCTGTAGGCAATCAGTGGTGAGCTGATAACTGCATAAACAACATAAATGAAAGGAGATATGACTGCATTATCTGATAGCGTGCACTGATAAAGTGCCACAGAGATACTGTAGACCATGTTTATACTTAGTGTATACTTTCATTCAGGAAGTGCAAAAATAGTCAAATGCAGGCTCTTTGAACTGAACAGCAGCTTAACATCCGGGTTGCTTACCCTCTTCTTGAGTTCGGCTGGAAACGTTTGTGCTCCACTGACTCCAAAGGCCGGTGCTGAATTTGGATCTGGCTCTGAAATGGTACAACCTGTACGGCTCCAGAGAGGAGATGACTTGTTCCAAACTCGTCTGCACACCCTGTGAGTCAAAATACATGAATTTTTCATCTTAATTTCATTTAAACTCACTCATCCATGCCCCCCACTCACAGATCAACAAAGATTTCTGACATTTATGATCACACCTGATAGAGCGTAAAAGGTCAAATTTCAGCTTGTTTCTGAGACTTGACATCATGAGTTCACCTCTGCGCACATCAATTTGACATTCACATCTGTCTTTGGCTTTGAATCAGCAGATCTTGCAGTGACTGTGTGTGTTCAAAGGGTTCATGTAACCTTCTGCAACATCTCATTGAAAGTCCCTACATCTGAACAGTTAAGACTTCTTACTGAGTCTGCATATGATATCCACGTCTGTGCCTCTGCTCTGTATTGGATCTCCAGGTGTTGAGTCCTCACAGACTGCTGCACTTTGATGACGCACTCTCGGGAGGAGCACTTGGGTTGGACAAGAACAGGAGTCGATGGCATTGCTGCTCAGATAAATTAAAAACAGAAGTCTTGAGCAACTATCACCAGACACAATGTTTCCATTGCAATAAAAGCAGTCATTGAAAGGAAGATGGAGGGAGATTATCGACTATCTTACACTTCATAATTAGAGCATAAAGGAAGGACACCTTTCACTGTAAAACTGGTTTCTAGTTCCAGTCACAATATCATTGTGATTCCATGCCTTACAGTTAACTGAGAACTGTTATTACACATCAAACATAACACACTCTCTATGCAGAAGTTGCCAAGCACCTCGCAAACACACCAAACACTCACTGCTACTGTCTTACCAATGTCACTGAGGGTGTAGTTGAAGGTCATGGATGTTGCATTGCCCAGTGGATTTTGGACTTGGACCCACACAGAGATCAGCTGGACAGAGGTAGAAACAGTGAAACTAGCAGATGGATCAGTTCCCTTACTGGAGACTTTGTACGACACTGGCTCATCTGTGTGGGTTCCAGATCTAGTTCTCACCCTGAAAATACAAAAAGCCAAGTTTCATTTGACAGCTGATACAAGCAATATAATATTGAGTACGACATCCAGTAAAATTGGATGTTTTTTTTTACCTCTCAATCACTTTTCCTCTTTCAAACTCACCACAGCACTGAACTATTCCAAAGATAAGTGTCTCGTCCTCGTATCCAGTTGCAGAACACAGCTCCTCTTTCATTATTTATGACTTCGTAGGTGCATGAAATGTTTTTAGGACTCTCTGGTTTGTCTGAAGGACAAAGAAGAGGATGAACTCAATGAAGCCTGAGCAGAGAACATAAAGCTAACAATCATTTAAAAATGCAGTAAAACATTGCTTGTACATGAGTTGTCATTCCAACACATTACTTTAGGAATAACCAATAAATAAGTAATATTATCAGTTGTCATAAAAAACATAAATAGTCTGTTAGTCAATAAAATGCATAATGTGCTATTCTCTAATGTTATCAGTTACACTGCATAAACAGATTTCATCTTCTTCAATACTGGAGGTGACATTTCAAAAAACAAATATTTGTACTGATAATACTGAGTACATGTATGTTTTATAATAGGGAACTGGCAGGTTGCATGTGTCAAAAAACAAACTTGCTCTTACTCCTCAGTTTGTCATAGCTCTGAGGTCAGAATAAGCAACTTATCGCAGTTAGTTTTAACACTTAGCTGCGTTCAGCCCACAACATGCGAACACTGTTTACTCTAAGTATAGAAGAGAAAGCAGAACCATCTTTTTTTGAACAGTTCTTAGCTTGTAGCTTAAAAAGTTACAGTCATCATGTCTTAGGCTCAGGATATGAGAAAGTCTCATTTTAAAACATCTGTAAAACATCCTGCAGAATCCTGTCCTGCTCTTTCACACTCACATCCAGCATAGATGTCCAGTCCACAGGGGTCCAGAGCAGTGCAGTCACACTGGCAGCTGAATGTTCGGTTCGTAGTTATGTTTCCCACTTTGAAATACATAGTTGTAGTATTAAATTCAATGCATTCCTGTTGTATGGGTGGATGGCAGCTCATGGATCCCTTGCACTTGCAGTTAAAGGTGCAGTACACCTCAAAACTGGAGCCTAGTGTCACCACAGGTCCAGCACTGGACCAGATGACACAGGATTTCTCACCTAAAAGTAAAAATGATTATCGACTTGAAAATGAGGAAGATGAGATACAATACACATGCACAATTAGAAAACATAATTGAATTGATTGAAATATTTGTAATAACTACAACAACATGAGAGTAAGAGTCACAGAGAGCCTTTTCGTGTGCATCCACAGGATATTATCTCCAAATAATGAATGAATAATGAAGAAAAAAAGCATTACTATGTATCTTACATTCCTCCAGAAATATCAGAAACACAGCATGTGTCCCTGCAGTAGTTAGAGCTTACCTATGCAAAGCTGCACGGCCAGCACAGTGACAGCAATAAAGATGAACCATGTTTGGGACATTGTCGCCATGAATCATCAGTAATCTGCCTCCTTATGTCTCTTAAATCGCCGCAGGAACTGCTAGTTTACCTTAAAAAGTACACAGAAGCAATGAGGTCAACTATGTTCTTTAGATACAGCGATTTCAAAGGTAGACCTATTTATCGATAAATAATGAAACTGATCAAAGTTTTATTTCTGAGAAAACACTCCCACTATAATACAGCGTTTCATATGAAAACATGTACATTGTAAGCAGAGCCATGGCGCTGTGCTGTGTTGTTTAACTGCAGCTGCGTACAGTCAGTAATGACGGTTAATAAAAACAGGAAAAACAAACATACTCACCAAGATATCACATCCCAGCATCATGTTAAGCTTTAATAACTTCTGACGCTTTTGAAGCTCAGTCTGTCATCATGAATCTTCCTCAACATTGTTATTCAGAGCAATGTATCCACAATGTGGTGAGGTGGCAGCGGAGACTCCGTGTTGACTGACTGCCGTCTCTGGTGTGAGGAGGTGACAAAGTTCAGTCACACACTAAGCCACACTTAAAACAGTGAAGCCAGACCATTGGCAGTATATATAGAGCCAGACACACACAGACTGTGCAGATACAGGCTACTGATAATACAATCACAATATTATTACCTGTAATAGTCCAGACACTTAGAAAGTCGTGATTGTAATTTCCTTGTAATATTTCTTTAATATGGAATTCATTTTTTGCCAAGACAAAAAAATATCCTGTATTTGTTTTTGTCCCTTTGCAGAGATATGCTGTAGCTTCTGTAAATGCAGGTTTGATCCTTTAGTCCCAAAACCACATCTAGAAGATAAGACTGATTCCATCTTCAGACATGATGAGGAAAGTCTGCAGGCTGGTATTCAGATTACATCTTGGGAGTGTGTGGCACCCCTGAACGGAGGAGTTGCAACAGCACAACAAGCCCTCAGATGAAATCACACTTTCCACACAACCCAAAGCCTCTAACTCCCTCAATCATATCTCCATGTGGTGCAGCAGCAGGGTACTTTCCCCTATAGAGGCACCACAGTTCAGCGTCAAGTGTTACACAGAAATATTAGAAAGAGTGACTGGTGTTTTTTTTAAAGAGAATAAAGTCTCCAGAAACTGTTTGTGAAGGAGAGGATCTCCTGAAATTTTATTTCATTGAGGAAGTGAGAAAACTCTCAGGAAGTCCTAAAAAACGGTGTTCAACTGCAGGTGGTGAATGTATGAGTACAACTCAAGGTTCAAGAGCCGATTCCTATAACAAGGAAACCCCCAACTGACTTTTTTCTGGGTGTGTTTTGAAATAATTTCACACTCGGCATCACTTCACCGGCTCACCAAACACGATGGCTAACATTAGAAACATACACAGCGGTGACACCCTAATACTCAAGTAACAGAAACTTTCAGCAGCTTGCATGACGCTATCATAGTCTTTATTTTAGCCCATGGATTAATCAGGAAGACCCCTGCAATAGACAGTTTAACCACTTAAAAAGAGTGAACGGCCACCAAACCACAATCCATTCATTTTAACATCTTAAATGAACATTTATAGCTGTAGACGTGATTAATTATTATAGTGAAACTTAGTAATATTTATAACTGCAGACTTAGTGGCTTATTATAAAGTGGGAAATGTACAATGCTTTCTACTTAATTTGGTCCGGATCCTCTATAACCTGTTTGTGTTGTTGATTCAGCTATGGTAGCAGCTTTGTGAGGCTGTACTGAGACATCATGGTGGTGTATTGAGCTAAATGCTAACACCAGGCCAGCATGCTAACATGCTCACTAATCATGACAGTTAATTATGTTAACAACTTAGTTTAACCTGTTAGCATGTTAACATTTTCTAATTAGTGTTCCATAAGTCATTAGTTTGGGTAATATAAATATATTAATATAGTATAATGTAATATAAACCAACGTGTTGGACAATCCTGAGAGAAACATAAGTGTGTACCAGTTTTCATGGCAATCCATCCAATAGTGGATGAGATATTTTATTTAAAACCACAAATGTATAAATGGGGAGATCATTAGATCATTAGGATACATCTCTGGGAACCATGAATGTCTGCACCACATTGTGTGCTAATCCATCCAGTACATGTTGAGATATTTCACTGGGTGTGGGAAAACTTTAAAATGCTGGTGGTGCTAAATGGAAAAATAGGGGATCATCAAAGCCAGCAGGGTTCGTCTTCTGAGTAAGATGAATACCTGAAAACAAAGTTTCATGGCAATCCATCAAATAGTTGTTGAGATAATTCAGTCAGGACCAAAGTGGTGGGTTGACCAGCTGATAGGAGGCCATTCTACTGCAGGTGGATTAATACAAATGACCTGACAACAACCTGACAACCCAAACTCTCTCTGTATGAATTACAGATCTTTAAAGGACCAGTGTGTAGGATTTAGCTTGCTTCAGCCTCCCTTTCCAAGTGCAAAGGAGAAACTACGGTGGACCCAAAACATGCAAAAAACATGATTGCCCCCTATCTAGAGCCCATGTTTGGTTTGTCCCTTCTGGCCTACTGTAGAAACATGGCGGTTCAACATAGCGGACTCCATGGAAGGCGACCTGCTGTGTCTGTAGATAAAAAGGGCTCATTCTAAGGTATCACAAAGATGCCGATATTCAGGTAATTATACATACATATTATATTCATACATATTGATTTCTGCCAATAGATCCTCCTAAATGTTACACACTGGACCTTCAAAGCATCAGTAGTGATTTATTTAACTTTATTAATCATGTCTTTATAAAACGTAGTGCCTACATAACTATAGTAAGGAATTGCTACACACGTATTAGAAGTGAAACTTCATTTATTAACTTGGTTTTTAACAGAGCTGAGTATAGTTCACATGAAGCAATGTTTTCTCTGATTACACAAAGTCACTGAGGTCGAGTGGTAAACTTGAATAATGCTTTTTTGAAAATCAGTTTAGTAATGCAGATTGATACCCATCGTCCCTGCTACCTCTGCGTGTCACAAAGTGTAGTGCTGCTGACAACAGCTACCTGAGGGAAGTAACCATCAGTCAGTGTTGTCTCAACTGTATCCTGAGTTGCGTCTTCTGTGTCAGGAGTCATTATTTCACCCTGTTGTAAATCCAGAGTGGGACAGTCCGCTTCCACATCGTTCTTAGTCCCCTTCCTCCCAAGAAAGAAGCCTCCATTCAAGACACTTGTTGTTTCAGGAGTTGTAGGCCACAAAGGGCTGCTAACAGATCTGAGAGTCAGCCCCAGAGGTGTATCAGAGAAATCCACCTCCACACTGGAAAGAAAGCCTCCAAGTAATCCTCCAAATACATTTGAACACTCGTCTTCCTCCTCATGTGTTGGTACGTCCCTCTCCTCTTCTTCTGTCTGCATCCAATCCTGTTCTTGTGCAGCCAGTGTGGCAATCTGGGGTTTGTAACTGACGTCTTCCAGTTGGCTGTCAGCAAGCATTGTCCCAGCATCTGACATCAGCAAATGTGTCTCCACTGTGGGTTGTCCTGATCCAACCTGGGATATTTCGACATGGACGTTGGGATACACGTTGTCCCTCTCCTCCTGGGAGATGAGACTGACGGGGGACAATGGAGGGTCACTGTAGTTGGACGATAACGGCGGTTCAGTTTCATCCTGCTGAAGAGCCAAACCATAGTTAGATTTGATTAGTGTGTAGTTAGTGATTCACTTACAGCAGAGTGAAAGCAGGAAGTAACAACTGACATCATTTCCTACTCTAGTGCTGACTGGTAAACCTCTAGAAACTACATTGGTTTTGGCATTTTTCAAAATTGTATTAAAATGGTAGCTGATTTCTCTCTTTTAAGAAATATCTTTGAAACATGCATGTACTGTTGGTGTAGGTGCAGGTGCTGCAGTTGCTAGTTGTTGCTGTTTTGGTTTTTGTGGTGACAGCAGTTCACACAACAAGAGGGAAGAATGTATGTAAACACAGTTAGCTTCAGTAGCATGCTTGTATTACCTCCAGTAGTCTGATGGCGATACTGTTTCCTGGTTTTGGTAGGTGTTCATCAAACCAGGCTGGTCCCCAGGAGATACATTTCTGTTTGATTCTGAAGTAGAAAAAGACAATTAGGTTTTAAAAGGCTGAGAAGTTTTTTCCCCCCAGTATTGATAATGATAGTTTATCATCAGATGCAGTTGTGATGCAAAATCTATAGAATTTAGAAGAATACAACAAAAACATTGTTTTTCTACTACCGTGTTTCACTATTAGAAGGCCATGTTGTATGAAGCCCACAATCAGTAGCTAAAACCACATATCAGACTGAGTTGCTTTGACCACATGTGGAATGTTTTTTGCTACAGGGGTTAGGTTTCTTTTAATGTGAATTGTGTGGTTTCTTGTTCATGTGCTCATATCTGTCGTGTGGTATTTCATTGAATGAGCCACAGTGGCATCCATCCTGGTTACTAGTAAAACAAAACCCATACGTACATTCAAAATCAGTTGCATGGAGATGGAGAAAGAGATGTGCATCTTCTACTTTCACTGTTGTTAGATTATGTCTGGTGTCTGTTATGGTGACTGTTATTTTCCAGGAACCAAAGATATCTAAGCACAAATCATGTTTAATAATACCTTCTCCTCACACAGCTCCAGCACATCAGGTTGGCTATGATTGCTAGAAAGACGGTAATGAAGAAAACAATCCCAAGCACCAGGCCAGCTGGAGGAGACAAGGAGGGGAAGACACAATAGTTTAGTAGAGTAGCTGTCAAGAGAGTTAAAATAACATATAATGTGTAACAACGTTCTCTCTCTTTAATCTTCCCACTTTAAGCTTCCTTGCCTTGAATTTTAAATGGAGGTGAATTACGGTTGCAGGCAAATGCTTTCATGGAAAATGCTGATGTCTGTGTTTGGAATGGAGGCATGGGATGGCAGCATGAGACTGACCTGCAGGGGTTGCAAGCTGAAAATAGATCCGGGTGCCCCGCGGCCCTTCTCCTGCTGAGGTGGATGCGGTCAGCTGCAGAGCCAGAGCTCCATCAGGACAGTCCAGCCACTTCTGTCTGGGCCCAAAGCCAGACACCTTCACTGGGGGGAAGCAGTCATGGTTTTCTTTGTTAAGGCAGCACAACTGGTTATTCTAGTTATTTAAGCTTTAAAATAAGCAATTATTAACTAACTGACTTAATTCAGTTGCTACAGTCAGGCAAAATTCAGTAATGTAGAATTTCTGCCCTATCAATCACTAATGTTGAGATGGGAAGTAAATTCTTAGCTTTGGAAACAACATAACATAACATCAAATACTGTTCCTAAGGTCAAGAATGAACTTTCAATCAAGTCCATCAAGTGCTCTGAAAAACAATATTATGCTAACTGGGCATTTCAGTTTGCCAAAGATTGTATGATATGATCTAAAGCTAGAGAACAGCTTCTAAATCGACCTTCTGATTGTTTTGGTAAAATGGTAAAAGACTAGAAAAGCGCTATCCTTTCTAGTCTTCCGACCACTCAAAGAGCTTTTACACTACATGCCACATTCAACCTTTCACTCAGTGTTGGCAAAGCCCATCAAATGGAAACTAACTCATTCATACACAATCACACACCGATACACGGGATTGGGAGCAATTTGGGGTTCAGTATCTTGCTCAAGGATATTTCGACATTTGGCAGGAGGAGCCAGGGATCAAACCAACAACCTTCTGATTAATGGACGACCCGCTCTTCCTCTGAGCCACAGCCAGACCTGAGTTTAACTTTCCACATGCTTCAGTTTGCAGGAGAGCCAAAGAGTACATCGATCAAGGTTCATTTGTATGTTTTTGCCAGTGGTGCAATTGCTACCTCTAGACTACAACCTGTTTCTGACAATCAGTTATGTTTTGGGATGTAACTGAATGAGAAAAACATATACATATTCAACACAGAAACTTCAGATGAAAAGACTTAAAGAAAGCATCCAGTGTACACACAAGTTGTCACCTAAGGAAGAAGAAAAAGTAAGCTCTCAGGTGCCTTTACACTGAAGCTTCAGAAATAGCATATGAAGCAGGCTAGTTAGTAACAACCTTATGGTTGCATGTGTCACATAGCCACATGGCTTCCTGTTTGTGGTCAAAGCTAGTTCTAGAAAACTCTATGATTCACTGAAGACACTGTGAAAATGATGACAACCAGTCTATAAAACATCAGTTTTCTCAGTGAACACCTGCAACCCTCAGTTATACGTTGAGAACTTTGTGAAATACATATTCAGACAGACAGGTTTGACACAACAAGAGGTTTATATAACAATATAACTCCAAGTCAGGGTTTCTGAGACAAAACTAACAAATGTTATTGGTGATGTCTTTTCTTAATCAGACATCTGTCCGCTGGCTATATTGTCATTGCTGACTATTTGGCTGTTTCAATAGGCTAAGATTTTAATATAAAAATATAAAACAAGCAACCATCAGTTTAACGTTCTCTCACCACATTACTGGAAGTGAACGGTAAAAAACCCTGCTGATGCACTGAAGGCTTGTGGGAGGGGAGTATCACTCGAATGCTGGTTGCACACTTTCCATTATGTAACAGTGTTTTGTGCTGAAACACCATATATGCATACTACTGCATATATAATTTCCCACACGTGTGCATACACATAAGCCTTAGCCTGAACAAGGTAAAGTACACACACACACACACACACATAAAACATGGTTACATGAGCACCGTAAAGAGTCCTCTTGATGTACAAGAACAGGAAGCGCGTTGTGTTTCCTCCAAACCTTCAGATCAAACCAAAGTGTAATTCTATTTGACAAAGAATATGTTTGAAAAAACATATTTTCTCACTTAACCCCAGTGGTATCCTGCCAGGCAAATAGGTTTCAAAATATCTGTCTCTGTCTGACAATGGATGGGATTTTGTTGACAATTTTTCAATGATGTGAGCGCCCATCATTGAAAAATTGTATTAAGAAATTTAGGGAGGAGCAGAAAAGGTTCTATATTATGAATTTAGAACAGCCTATCCATGTTTCAGGTAAAGAAAATGGTTTAAAATAAAAAAATAATAAATAAATAAAAAGTAGCCAGTTCTTGCAAATTTAAAACCTTGAACAATTGATCATAATTTCTGCTATAAAAAATAACTTTCAAAAAAATTATGATCAAAATAGCTCCTGATTAATTTTATATTGATGGACTAATGAATTGTTTCAGCTATATTCGCATATGTGAACGCTCACTGCTGAGTTCCTTGTTGCCTGAGTCCAACATCTGGAGGTAGATGGTGTAGTTTGTGATGAAGCCTCTCTGGTGATTTACAGGAAGTTCTTCCCACTGGATCAGGATTCGTCTGGCCTCATGGACCAGGACTGATAAGTTGGGACCAGACACTGGCTCTGAAACACATAAAATGAGACAGAGAGAGAATTATGCTGTATACCATGTATCGTCTGAATCCCTCATATAGGTATGCAACATCTACCACATTATGAACTCAATTGTTGAAAATTGCAAGAAGAAACTGTTTTTTTGGGACATGTGGAATCCATGAATCTTACTTTGTTCTTTGGAGTAGACCAGACCGGATGATGGAGCACTAACACCTCTGGTGGTCACAGCATACAGAGAGATATTGTACCTCACGCCTGCAGTCAGACCTGAAACAATACAGAAACACTCTCACCATGAGCTCCCTTGTATTTCACAAACATTAAACTTTCTGCTAATAAACTTTCTCTTCAGCTGCATTAAGATAATCATTTTAATTGGAAATCCTTAACAGTTATTGAAATAAAAAAAACTTGTGTAATTCTGTAACTGCCCATAAGAGGTCATTGTTTGACCCTCAGTTGAAGCCCTTGTGTCTTCACTTCCAAATGTTTAGTCGTTTTTCTTTTCTCTCTCTCTCTCTCTCTCTCTCTCTCTCTCTCTCTGTGTGTGTGTGTGTGTGTGTGTGTGTGTGTGTGTATGTGTGTGTGTGCACGCCGACAAGATCTTTGTGCCTGAATGGTATGTGTTAAATGGTAAATAAAATGGTTCTGTACCTGTGATGGATGTGTTGTTTTGATCTTTAGGTAGTTTTTGCCAGTGCAACTCTGCCACAGATACACTCGTCCTTTCTAACACATAGTGCAGCAGTTCTCCTCCAGGTGTTGACAAGTGTTTGCTTCCCGGCCACGACCAGGAGACCAACACAGCACTGCCATTAGCTGCAGGAGCCAACTCTCTCAAAACAGGTTCAAAATCGCCTAAACAGTTGGACACCAAGAAAGAATTACAATTTACTGGACTTTCTTCTTCTTTTCTTCTTTACAATTTAAACATGTTTTGCTACGCTTTGTCATCTGTGTGTAATTTTTGTGTACCTGAGTATTTGAGTGGCACAGCCGCTGGTGGAGATGCCCCATACAAGGTGACAGCACTGATGCTTAGTGCCTGGACCTCTGCTGGTACCTTAACCAAACAGTGGCTCAAAGCAGCACTACAGGTCACATGCTGTTTATTACCCAGAAAGGTCTGGTACTGTTGCACCTCGCCACTGTGATCCTCTGGAGATGGAGGCTGGGGAAGAAGTCCATGCATAATTTAAGGTTTACTTCTCAAAATTATTATATTTTGACAGTTTGGGAAATATGGTTATTTGCTGTCTTGCCAGGAGTTAGGTGAAAGGTTGAATTTACCCAGATGGTTAGCTTAGCTTAGCTTAGCAAAAAGACTGGGACCAGGGGACACAGCTAGCCTCACTCAGTTCAAGGTAACAAAATGCACCTACCAGTACCTCTAAAGCTCACTAATAAATATGGAATATCTCTTATTTTTCAGTGTAAGTGTAAAAATGAGGAGGTTTCTGTGACTATTTCTTGGCTGGGCGCAGTCCAAGAGAAAGTTAGTTTTACCATACAGACATTAAAGTGGTAAAAAAAATAAATCTCAGCACCAAACTGTTCCTGCAATCAATGAGTAGTAGGGCTGTCGCAAATGTCTGAGGTTTTTGAATGAGGCTTCAAATGTCTGTTATCATATTTTATGATGTCATCACCATAACAAAAAACCCTTGAACAAGATCCTCAGTTTGTATTCAGTAATCCATTGGATTAAGTGATCTCTTTTTTATTTATTAAATCAACTTTCTTTGGTGAATATAACTTATCAGTCAGTCAGTTTCGTCAACTGAAATACATCCACACAGCAGGTTAATCAAGTAAGGGCGTAAAACAATGATCAAATGCAGATCTCTTTTTTTGGTAACAACTTAATTTACTATAATGTTAGAGCCAAATTCGGTTGGGCAAACTGTTCTTTGACGTGCAGTGAAAATGTTTTTTGTGTAAGGTTAAACGCCAGCAAATATGGATTGAAACAAAACATTTTGTTACACAATGCTGTTGTTGACAGAATTTGAATATCAACGTTATGGATGAAGCTTTTCAGTACAGCCCTAACGAGGAGTGCAAGCTTTCCGTATGAATCTTATGAGAATAATACATTTTTTGCATTTGCTGTAGCTTTGTGTCACAAAATGGGAAGTATCAATATCTAATGAATAGCTTTGACACATTACCTTCCACAAAACCGTCACCATCTGCTCCCCATTGGTCCCCTGGCTGCCTAATATCCTCCACACATGCAACTGCTGAGATGGACCTAACAGTAAGCATAACCACAAGCTGTGAGTGACGACAAACTCTCTCATTATCTCAATCAGATTGCCTTCTCTGTTACATAATAAATAAAAACTGTGAGCTTGCCTTTCCCAGGGCTTTCCCCCCTCACAGATGGGCTCCATTTGCTGCAGAACAACCTTTTGCTGGTGGATGACCTGGGCATGAAGCTGGTATGTGTCAGTCCTGATGTTGACCTACATGTTCTCATCTGGAACTCATATTCAGTCAGAGGCTTCAGGCCGTCCACTTGTATCAGACCCTCACTGAGCTCTGTTCCCTCTCCCGATTTCTAAAAGACATCGAGAGATTAGGTCACTTGCACACCTGGTTAAACTGCAAATACCCACAAAGCTATCATAACATCACTTTACCCAGGAGCCGTGATGTGTGCGGAGCCTGACGTAGGGTCTGAGACCTTCTGAGTATTCGGTGGTTTTCCATTGCAATGTGGCTGCTGTGGAGTTACTCACAAACTTTATCTGCATAATATTAGGGGTCTCTGGTATCACTGCAATACAAAAAACCATGGAAGTAGAGCGCAGCAGCCAAATAACAAAATAACAACGGATGTTAAAACTTGAAAAAGTTCAATGAAACAGCGACACAGTTTGCTGATAGCAAACTTGTCATATTAGTCAACTAGAACAACCATCTAAACATGAATATTCACAGGATGACTCATTTCTCATGAAAATACTTCAATTCGGATTTTTTAAATATATATACATATAAAAAAAGTATGTTTATGTAGACGCACAGTCATTTATAAAGATAACAGATAAGGGAACTTACCTATATCTTTTACACAGAGGATGACTGGATCAGACTCTGAGACTCCAAAGTGGTTGTAAGCCGTGATATTTAACTGGTATTTAGTGTTTTCATCCATCATTGCTCGTGGTATGGTGATTTCTTTAGCATCTTGGATTGGATCTAGCAGTATCTGGGTTCCATTTTCTCTAATAATAGAACATGTGTTATAAATAAGAGAGAATACAAAGCAACAGCTTAATTTGACCTAAGAATAACACCATACCTGTAGATTGAAATGTTGTAGACAGTAGGGAGGTGTGTTTCCTTTCCTCTTTCCCAAGAGCAGTTTATAAAATCTGAGCTCCTTGACGTTTCACAGATAATATTTTTAGGTTTATCTGGAGGGACTTTAAGAGAGAGAGGAGAAAGAAAACAGTATTGAAAAATAATACATTTTTTGTATGCCTGCTAAGAAAAGAAAACACTATGTCTTTCCTATGTTTTGTGGCACATTACTGCTCACTGACAAAAAAATGTGCTATTGCTTTTTCCCAGCGAAAACAATGGTAGCTAAAATAAATTCTACTGCTTGTTCAAAAAAAGAAAAGACAGAAAGGTCTTTCAAACATTAAAGAGGTCACACCGCTTGGACCTTTTTGTTAGCTCTGTTTTATGCTTTTTCTGACTTTTTGAACATGTTCATGTATATATCCCCCCATGCCCATCCCAGTGCTAAAATATAGGTAATACCAAAGTTGCAACTACAGTTGTTTCAGTGATTCCACAGCAAAAGCCACAAATGCAGGGCCAGCTCTCTGTCTATCTCAGTGAACCTCAGACTGATGATACTGCTCTGTGACAACATCAAACTTGCAGAAATGGCCCGGCTACCATGCAGAAACTTCATAGCTAACACCTCAAAACCACCTACCATTTCGAATAACTGCTTAGTAGTCACCCAGAACACCCTAGCAGCTACCTAGTAACACCAGTAACAGCTTCGCTTACCAAGTAGCAACCCCTTAACAGCCTCCTAGGAACACCCTAGCAACTGCCCTAAACACCTTAGCAATCATTTTAGCAGCCACCTAAGACCATACTAATCAAATCTGTAGCAATGAGGTAAGTTTTAAAGTTGTATTATATTTATGTTTGGACAAAAATGATCTTCAGACAATATTGCCTTTGTCTTTTTAATTCATGCAATCCTAATTTTATGTTACTGTAGACATCAGAGCCAACTGTACATACGACCGCCTTGTAGGTCCAGTCCACTGACATCATCACCACTCTGGAACTTGCAGTACATTATAGATTGTGGTGTCCGGACATTGAACAAACTGAAAATCGTCATGGTGCAGTTTACTTTCTTCCCAGGAGCCATGGTCTCACCGTTCAGCTCCAGGTATATTTCGGACCTGGAAGACAGTAATATAACAGCATTTGAACAAAACAGTTCACAGAGTAACATTTTTAACCTATTTCCAAACTTTAGACATAAATATAGGCACAGAAGACCTGTGTCTTCATATATATATTCATGTTCATGTCATATTGTATCATATTATATTCATCATATTTTTACCATTCCTACCTCTCACATTCTTTGAGGTGGCAGTACACTGTCAGGTTTGAGCCTATGAGGAAGAGTGGAGCTGGTTCTACTGTCAGGTAGCCATGGTTATTGAAGCTTTGGCAGTCAGCAGGGAGCAGAGGGCAGCCTGTCCAGAAAAAACGACGACAGGTTTACATAGAAGTCTAGATACATAGAAAACTATCCCCTCTCCTCCAATTGTTATTGTCAATATCCATTGCTGGCTTTGTAATAACACGTGCCAAGAAAGGTTTGAGACAAAAATGTTTGTCTTTCCATGAATATTTGAATTTTATACGCAAAAATAGTTTAGAGCTTGGCAACACAAACCAAACTGTGATACAGTACATAGATAGATAGATAGATAGATAGATAGATAGATAGATAGATAGATAGATAGATAGATAGATAGATAGATAGATAGATAGATAGATAGATAAATAGATAGATAATAATACTTACGCTTTATGGAAAAACTTAGAAATATTATAATGAGTCTCCAAATGGTTGAGTGGAGATTCATCTCAGCTCATCTTTTTTAATCTCTTAGAACCCACTCAGCATGACTTGGTAGCTGTGGACAAAAGTTATTCTTATTATAAATCAGCAAACATTTCTTTCTAAAGATTCACTTAATGGGAATTTCCGTACATAAAGTTATCTTCAGTATGTACCTCAGCCAACTGTGTCAGGAGATTTGCTGGCTAACATGATGATGGAACATAATTTTGTTGAACTTTCGTAGCTGATAACATTTACAGAAGCAAGTAGCTCCAGTCATAGTTGCTGTGACACATGCGCCATGGCAGATAAGAGAAAAGACATTTCTGTCACTGCGTTACAATTGAAATGAACTGAGATTAGATTCATTGCGTCAAATCTGATCATTTGATCTTGAAAGAAAATACTTGTTTTCAATCCAGTAGTTATTACGTTTTTGTTTTTTAACATTTTCTTCTTTATCAAAGACAACCAAAAACCACCAAGTTACGTTAGTAGATATGTTTAGATAAAGCTCACCATAATTTCATGCCGCCTGCGTGCCTTTCTAATCCCTTTAAGGTTTTCTTATCGAGACACAATCCAACAAGTTTTTAGCCATAGTTACATCTTCCTCAGATGACTTACTTTGAGAGATGTATCTGACTGAAGTGATCTCTGTTGCGCGAATGAAACAACTTAAAGAGGCCACTGACCTACTTTAGTGGTATTTGCAGAAACTTTGAACATTAGCTTCAGTACTTTGGTGCCCTATTTAAGTTGCCTGTTTTTCATCACCACAAAGGTTCAGTTGAGTTTAGATGTCACCTGCTCTCATTAAACATGCTGCTCTTAGCAGATAGGCTCATGAACATGTAACATACTGCGACATCAATTTTTACTTAGACAAACTTGCTGACCATAACTTCACAACAACCTCATTTTTTTGTTTCCATTGGTCTTGACATTTATGAGGGTTTTTTTTTTTTTTTTTTACAGTAACTAAATGTGCTGATCCAGTCAACAACCAAGCAAGCACAGGTGATTCATCAAAAGCATTCAAGTATAATTCACTGTTCACTGAACTGACTATATAAACATGTTTTGCCTGTTAAGTAGTTAGGTTGGTAAAACAAACTTACACGTATGTATGAGGCCACTTCACATAAAAAAATCAACCCATTTCTTTTCTCATTTAGCTGGTTGCTTATGTTTATAGTCCCTCAGAGTGCCAGAGTGTCGACTTTGTTGGAGGAAAGCAGAGACTTTCTGACGATACCCTAGTTAGAGCGATTTCCTTTCACTGGTTATTTTCCATCTCTAACTTCAAAAGCTTTACTGGGAAAACCCAGAATTTAGAGTGGGTGTATGTTCATATAAAGATAAAAGAGACCTCAGGCTTGAGGTTTGCAAATTTTTAGAATTGACATGTCTTCATACAAAATGTGAAAAGTTCAATTTAAGTTAAACTGCAACTGTTTTACGTGTAATGTAACAGAATTCGGCCACTTTATTAGGTAGGTTGCACATGGGTGGGACCACATTTTGCCTTTAGAACAACCTTAATTTTTTGTGACATTAATTCATCCAGAAAATGTTGTTGTTGTTGTTTTGTTTTTTTATTCATGTTTTGCACAATGGAGCCATTTTGTCTTTTCTTCAGTTGCTAGCTTTCAAAATTATATATAAGATCATAAAAATGTAAACTATAAACCAACACCTGTATTTAAACATTTTCTTCTTTAAAAGATCAAAGTCTAGTCAAGTCACATTATAATTAATAAGTATTTTATGGAAAATATAATAAAGGGCTTTGGAAAGAAAAGCTCTGCACACTTTCAGCAAGATGAACAATTCAACTAGTCTCAATCCTAACTGAAACGGAGCAGTGTCCGACCAGGGTAAAGGTGGCACCCCCCATGATGTCTTGGAAACCATCAAGCAGCTCCGATCTGACCAGAGTTTGTTTTTGTTTGTTTTTCCTTAGGGAGGGGAAGAGTGGTTTTATATCAATGTGAATATTTCATGTCTTGTTAAAATGTATCATTGTAAATTGTAAATAAATACATGTCTATACATTTTCTATTGTTTTAAGAATTTAATAGTATATTCAAGATAACATTATTAATATAAAATGGTTTATTGAAAAAGCCCTATTGATTGAGAAGAAACTTCCTCACACTTTATAACCAGACTATACTATATACTTTACAACTCAAAATATAGGAAAAGAACAATACAGCAGATATTCTTCCCGTATTATAATACAGTCCCTCCAGAAAAACGCGATAATGCGAAAGCATAATTCAATGCATAATCAGTCAAAGTATTTATGCGGGGGCCACATTTTTTTCAAATGCGCCGCAATTTCGCCGCATAAATTGCAGATTTCCGCGCAAAATATGCAGGGCTTGCATGATTTCATAATCCCCGCATTTTCGTTGCAAAAAAGTCACATATATCTTATTGCGTTTACTTCACACAAGAGCAACCATTTTCCCCTGTTGCCATGGGAACGTTATGAAGTGACGTTATGAAGTGACGTAATTACGCGACGTGAACGCCATCGAAAAGCTGCAAACCCGCAATTTCATCACATAAAATTGCATAAATTGCCGCATATTTTTTAACAAAACGTGCCGCTTAATCAAGGATTTTGGCCCGCAACGATCACAAAAAAACGTTTTTCTGGAGGGACTGATTATAAGATAAATGTAGTGTAACACAGTGATTCACTGTGGTTCAGTTTGGTGGTTTATCGTAGTACAGCACAGAGGCGGTAAGGTTGGGGGCAGCGAGTAGCTCCTAACTTGAACTCCAGACTGGGCTGCTCTCCAGCCGCTGCTGAGAAAGAAAACCTCTGAAGGAGGGAGGTAAAGAAGAGGAATAACTCTGTCCTGGCCAGCTGCTCCCCGAGACACACACGTTTACCTGAGGATACACAATACAACAGGTGAGTTAAGGGATCCACTTAAACCTTATCATACTCCTGCAGGTCCGAGTCTGAAATATATTAAAGAATACAGTAGGACAGGGACCCTGGCCCCTCCCAGCAAACAACTGCTGGCAAGCAATGATATGTATCTTTTGTCATTTTCTTCTGTGAAGCCTTTGGTTTAAACAACTTACATAATAACTGTAACCACTGACTAACCTGCTGAAAAAGGAAAGAAGGCCTCCCTCTTCCTAAATGTGCCGTCCTGGTCCAGAAAATGTTGAGGGTTGAAGGAGTGTGGAGTTTCCCACATCGACTCATCATGTAGAACCGAGTCCAATGTGGGCAGGATCATGGTGCCCTGAGGAAACACCGTTAATGATACCAGTCAATCAAACATAGAAATTAGGATTATTCACCAGCTCTGTTCTAACTAAATCTAACTGACATCACTATTAACATAACAACAACAACAACAACAAACAACAGTTCTCTTTCAAACCTCACTCTGTATCTCAATATGGGAAGCGGCTCCTGGCATGATCAATCGTGGAAGCTCCAATAACACCACATCTGTCATGAGATAGACCAATCATCTTCAGATTCACGGGCCTGCCCGTCCCCCTTTATTAATGCCCCTTGTGCTACCAAATGGCATTCTCGCTTTCTTCCCCGTGAATTTGAGCTCCTCAGCATCATGGCTACTGGATATTCATTTAACTGCTCTCCGATTCAGCCGTCAATGTAGTCACCGAGGGTGGATATCTGGGGTGAGGATATTTTGAGTTTATTTCTTTTGTCAAGAGGATTGCTGTGTGTTGGGGTGGGCTTCCATCCTGAGCTTGTTTTGGATCAAGCTAGCATGTTGAGGTGATAAGGTCCATTTTTACTGCTAGCTAAAGCCCTTAACGCTGTGGATTAGCTATGGCAACCACCATATTCTCTAAGGGGACCGCTGGTGGCGGCAAGGTTAAGGACGTTGAGTTCTGCCCTTGCTGGACGGCTGCATGTGGGTTTACCGTCTTGGGGAGAGATCCCCATTCCCTCTGCATTGTCTGTATGTGGGTGAAGCATGCTCAGGCATCGCTTGTGGACTCCGAGTCCTGTGAGCAATGCTGCACCATGCCGTCGTCCTCGGTGATGAGAATGATGAAGATGACGAAGATGCCATTCTCCCCCCCGTCTCAGACTTTGCGGCCCAACAGCTCTGTTGGTGCGAGCGGCGGCCGGGTTCGCTATTGACTGGCCTGAGTTGCAAGAAGAAGAGGGTTTGTATAATGGCAAAATCCTACCTTCTCGTCAGGTCTCCACCAGCAAGCTTATGCTGGAGGAAGGATGAATTGCTCCGGTACTGATCAGAGTGAATGAGCAGCGGCTGTCTGTCTTTTATTCTGATAGCTCTGTACTGGCCTAGCAGATGGTGGATGGCAGAGCTGGTGCGGCTCCTTCACAGCCAGCCGTTACGCAGAGACTTGGTCTCACAGGCGCACAGGCAGATTTTTCACCCACAACCCAAACATCTGACTCTGGGCTTGGCACGTGAAAGGGTGAATTTAAATGAGGTGGGTTTCACTTTGAGGGTGACTGAGACTATTCAAAGTGCAAGGGCGCTGTCTACGCGGTCATTGTATGACGGAAAGTGGGGCGTGTTCGAGAGATGGTGTGAGGCTAGAGCCATCATTTTATTTCAGAGTTCTGTTTCGGGGGTGTTATGCTTCCTGCAGGATTTACTTGACAATGGTAAAGCATTCTCCACCATTAAAGTTTATTTGGCTGCAATCTCAGCCTGCCATGTGGGATTTGGGAATGCACCGATTGGACAGCATAAGGAGGAGGTTTATGAAGGGAGCTCGTCGCTTGAGGCCAGCTTGTAAACCTTTAGATCCTTAATGGGACTTGCCAACTGTTTTAGAGGCACTCTGGGGGCTTCCTTTCGAGCCATTAGAGTCAGCTGACTTGAAGCTGCTCTCTCTCAAAACTATCCTGTTGCTGGCACTATAGTCATCTAAATGGATAAGTGAATTACATGCATTGTTTCTTGTTTGCAATTTTCCCTTGACTATGGGAAAGTGATGTTGTGCCCTAACCCGACTTTTGTGCCCAAGGTTATTGAGTCTGCTTACAGCTACCCGATGCTGGAAGTGCTTGCCTTTCACCCACCACCTTTTGCAGGGGAGAGTGAGAGGCGGCTTAGTTCACTTTGCCCTGTCAGAGCCTTACGCATCTATGTGGACAGGACTAAGGGATTTAGGAAGAGTAACCAGCTTTTTGTATCTTGGGCCCCTCCTCACAGAGGAAAGGCTGACTTGTCAGCACCTGTCACACTGGGGTTGTGGAGGCTATAGTCCTGGCTTATGAGAGTCATGGGCTTCAGCCCCCTGAGAGACTGCAAACTCATTTCACCAGAGGAATGGTCACCTAATGGGCCTTATTCAGGGGCATTTCGGTGACTGACATTTGTGCTGCTGCTAGTTGGGCATCTCCACACACCTTTATTCGGTTTTACCTACTAGATGTAAGAGTGCCTTCACTAGCGCACTCAGTCCTGAGTGTGGGTTCATGTTAACTGTGTGCTAGCCCATGGGGAGGGCTTGTGGTGGTGTTACGGGCTTCGGAGCATGCAATTCTTGAGTGGGCCACATCTCCCATAGTGAGATACCAAGCTAAAGTTTAGTTACAAGGATAACCCTGGCTTGAATTATTGGCGGATAATTCATCTGTCCTGATAATTATGGTGCTTCTCTAATATAACAAAAACAAACAGTCTACAAGGTAAATTTCAAAGTTAATTCTCTATCTTGGAAAGAGCAGTTGATCCTAATAATAAAATACAAACAAAAAACACTGCGTTCAAAAGATGTGTTGCCAGAAAGTCCACACTACCTTTGGGATTGTGTACTTGTCGAGAGTGATGTCCTTGCTTGCCATGTGGGCCAAATTTAGGGGGATGATGTTGGCCATTCTCTGGATTTCATGGACGACTGCATTAGTATAGGGCATGTTCTCTCTGTCAGTCATAGAGGGCTGTCTGGATGAACCAATGACAGTATCTATCTCAGCCTGGACTCTCTCTGCAAAGTGAAAACAGGAAACAATGTGAGTCTGGATGAATGAGGGGAAAATTATGTGTGACGCACTTACTCTCCCATGACAGGCCTGACCTGTGAGAGACCCCTGAAACAATAAAGTCACTTTGAAATAAAGTATATGGTGGGACAGATAGTACTCATAAGCACAAACACACCTTGTATGTGAGGGTAGTAGATCATATAGAGAAGTCCCCAGTGTAAAGTTGTGGTAGTGGTTTCAGTTCCAGCACCAAACAGGTCCAGAGTGCATATACACAAATTCTTTAAATCAAAACCAGAATCTTTGTCCTCCTTCTATCAAAAACACAAAAGACAGTTTTTGCTATCAGTTGACATATTTCATTGGAAAATGCAAAGACAGCAAACACAATACAAACAGAAACACTCACCTCTCCCATCTCTGTGAGGAAGCAGTCGATGTAGTCTCTTGGTGAGGAGGGGTCAAGACCTTCTCTGTGTTCTTTGATCTTGATTTCTACAAAGTCAATTATCTTTTGTGTCAATATGAATATCCTCTGGTGAGGTCCAGGCAGCCACTTCATCAGCCAGGGGAATATGTTGTAAGCCTACAGAGTATGAAGACATTTATCAGATGATCTGAGAATTAAACAAAAGTTGAACAGGCAAGGCCATGACAAAACAAATTCATTTTTGCTGGATTTGTCAAAAAACATCTGGTTGGATAAATCCTGATGTTAAATAAGATCACTGCGTGCAACATCTTGTTTATAAAGGAAGCTCACCTGTGCCCAGAAACTTCCCTCCAAGTACACTAACTCACTAAAGTCCCGAAGAATTTGCTGGAACTGCTCATCAGTGTACTCAAAACGATGCCCAAACACCAAGCAGCAGACGATGTTCGACACAGCATTGTTGATAAGTGACTGGGTATTAAAAGGTTTGCCTATAAAATAAAATAAAATACACATGAGACACAAAGAAACTTTATGAAATATAAAAATCACAAAGTTAAAACATAAAATGTGTGATGAGCCGCAGGCACAAGTACTGTGATATGCTGATTAAGTGTGACTATGATTAAGGATGACAGACATGGTGTTATAAAATATATCTATACAGAGTGTTGCAAAGTTGGAGAAAAGTAAAGAGCAAAGGGAAATCCAAGGTTCATGTAATGAACAGGTAATAAAGATAAATGTGTTGAGGTAAAAAAGCATACTGCTTTATAGCTTTTTTTATTGCTAAATCACTCAAATATTTACACACTATTTTTACTTGCATATTGCAAAGTGTAAACACTTTCATTTATATATAGTCTTAGTCTTAGTCTATAGTCTTTTATAGTCTTATATTTTCTGTCATATTTTATTTTGCGATATCTGGTTGTACAATCACTTTTGTACTCTTTTTGCACTACATTCCCCTATGCTGCTCTGTCAATTTTGAATTTCTCCTAAGGGGATCAATAAAGGTACATCTTATCTTAAACTTAGCTTGATGAGCTGATTATGTTGAATGTCGAAAAATAAGATCAGTTTTGTGCCTTGCTGAAGGGCGAAAGCCTCAGTGAGATATTGGCACTCCTGCTGGATGGATGGCTCCAGAGTCTTCTTGCCAACACCAAAGTTTCGGAGTGTATGAAGAGCAAATCTCCTCTGCTGCTTCCAAAGATTGCCATTGGATCCCACCAGACCTTTGGAAACACAAAAGAGCATTAGACCAGAAGTAATTGGAAATGGATATAAAAACTCACAACTAGCTAAACACTAATATGGTGTTAACCCTAACCCTAATATGGAGTATGAATTTACTACCCTAACTGAATTATTTGGCTTTTTAAACAAAATACACTACCTTTATTCTCAACTAATGCTTCAAAAAGAGGTATGACGGGGCGATCTGTGAAGTCCTCTCCTTTCTCGACCAGGGCCTCTCTCACAAGCTTGTATCCATTAATGACCACAATCCTTCCACCAAAGAGACGAAGGCTGAAAATCTTCCCATATTTCTCTGCAAACTGAACACAGGAAGCAGACTGATGTTTTGGTTCAACACTGAGCTGATGTACTCAGATCTCAACAAAAAACAAACAAACATGTACCTGTGGGTCACAGCTCAAATATATTGTATTTATTTAATTATTTCAAATACCTCTGTGAACTGTAGGTGCATTCTGCTGGGATCGATGCGATGAAGGTCTCCAATCAAAGGAAGAGACCACGGTCCAGGAGGAAAGTTCTTCGGTGCTCTGTGCTTCATAAAATCAGTCAACAACAGAAACACACACAGAAATATCAAAATGCTGCTTCCGTCCATCCACTCCAAGCCCAGTACATTGTATAGTGTCTCCATTTGTTGGTTTATTTATTTCACACTGTTAGCAGCGCAATCACGACCGCACGGAGCTCAGAATATAAAAGAGGATCAGAGTCTGTTAAACACTGTCAATGGTAAACAGGCTGTGTCTTGACTTCCTTGTCAAACCATCAAAATAAAAGCACGCTAATGTTTGTGTGTGTGTGTCCTTTCGAGGTGTATGAAGTTCTCATATCTTTCATGTATGTAAAAGTATCAATGTCACAGTGTAGAAATACTCTGTTACAAGAATTAAAAAATGTGACTAATACAATATGCAATATACCTACATGGATAATATGTACAATGACCCATTTCACAATCATTTACGGTATATTAAATCATTGGATTATAACTATAGATTGTAGATAACAGTTGGATACAACCAATAAATCAGCAGAACTGTTACATAACATTTCCTTGTTTGGGCCTTTCTTTTCTGCTGAGTCATCCAGATAATGTGAAAGGCACCACCATACTGTCTGTAGGAGCAAACTGATTTTACAGAGAGCTTTTTGAAACACCGTTATCATGAATGTTTCAAGCACTTCTTGAGTTTATGGACCAAAACAGTACAGAGACAAAAGCTTTTTTTCTAATTTTAGTTTTATTCTCACCTACTGAACCTCTGACTGAAACCACAGTGTGAACCTGAACACACCGCGATCTGAATGAGAAGCACAAACTACATCTCTGTATCACTTATTTACACACACATCAAGTTTCAGCTAATCTGAGAAATCCAATTTGCAGTGCAAAGGAAAGTAGGAATATTGTTCCAAATAATTTCTTTAAAAAATGGAATTTTTCAAGGATTTTATTGCATATTGAATTGAGTAGATTACATTAATAAGAAAAGAATAAATTAAGAAAAAAACCTCCAAATTATAAGAATATAAGAAAAGTACAATACAGCAGACATTCTTCCTGTATTATTAGATAAATGTAGTGTAACACAGTGATTCACTGTGGTTCAGTTTGGTGGTTTATCGTAGTACAGCACAGAGGCGGTAAGGTTGGGGGCAGCGAGTAGCTCCTAACTTGAACTCCAGACTGGGCTGCTCTCCAGCCGCTGCTGAGAAAGAAAACCTCTGAAGGAGGGAGGTAAAGAAGAGGAATAACTCTGTCCTGGCCAGCTGCTCCCCGAGACACACACGTTTACCTGAGGATACACAATACAACAGGTGAGTTAAGGGATCCACTTAAACCTTATCATACTCCTGCAGGTCCGAGTCTGAAATATATTAAAGAATACAGTAGGACAGAGACCCTGGCCCCCTCCCAGCAAACAACTGCTGGCAAGCAATGATATGTATCTTTTGTCATTTTCTTCTGTGAAGCCTTTGGTTTAAACAACTTACATAATAACTGTAACCACTGACTAACCTGCTGAAAAAGGAAAGAAGGCCTCCCTCTTCCTAAATGTGCCGTCCTGGTCCAGAAAATGTTGAGGGTTGAAGGAGTGTGGAGTTTCCCACATCGACTCATCATGTAGAACCGAGTCTAGTGTGGGCAGGATCATGGTGCCCTGAGGAAATGCAGAAAACAGTCAATCAAACAGATTCACTTTTTTACTTCTGATTTTGTTTTAATTAACAAAAGCAAAACTGGTAAGATAATACTCTTGTACAGTTAGCCACATCAGTATTTAGTGGTGTCACATTGTGTCCATTCGGCTCTCCAAGTCCTTGGGCAAGACACAGGACCTAAAATTGCTCCGTCGAGTCTTTGTGTGTGGGTGGGCTTAGTATCATCGTGAGCTTTGGATATTAAGTGATGAGCAGTGAGCAGGTAGGAACTTTGCATGCAGCCTCTGCCATCAGTGTGTGAATGGGTGAATGTGCCAAAAGTCGTGAAGTGCTTTGAGTAGATCAGAAAAGCAATGTAAAAATACACAGCTCAGACTAGTCCCCCGCAGCAGCCAGGACTCAGCTTTGGCACATGGGGGCACCAGCTCTACCAGGTGAGCTACCAAGGCCAAACTGATATGAGCTGATAAGTCATATTGGGAGCACTATTCTGAATCAGCTCCCTGAATGAAAATCCAACTTAGAAAACAAAACATGTGCAGCATACCTTTGGGATTGTGTACTTATCAAGCGTGGTGTCCTTGCTTGTCATGTGAGCCACATTTAGGGGAATGATGTTGGCCATTCTCTGGATTTCATGGATGACTGCATTAGTATAGGGCATGTTTTCTCTGTCAGTCGTAGAGGGCTGTCTGGATGAACCAATGACAGTATCTATCTCAGCCTGGACTCCCTCTGCACAGTAAAAACAGGAAACAATGTGAGTCTGTGAACTGCGTGGATGACTGAGGGGGAAATGATGTGTGACACACTTACTCTCCCAATACAGACCTGACCTGTGAGAGACCCCTGAAACAATAAAGTCACTTTGAAATAAAGTATAGGGTGGGACAGATAGTACTCATAAGCACAAACACACCTTGTATGTGAGGGTAGTAGATCATATAGAGAAGTCCCCAGTGTAAAGTTGTGGTAGTGGTTTCAGTTCCAGCACCAAACAGGTCCAGAGTGCACAAACACAAATTCTTCAAATCAAAACCAGAATCTTTGTCCTCCTTCTATCAAAAACACAAAAGACAGTTTTTGCTATCAGTTGACATATTTCATTGGAAATTCGCAAAGACAACAAACACAATACAAACAGAAACACTCACCTCTCCCATCTCTGTGAGGAAGCAGTCGATGTAGTCTCTTGGTGAGGAGGGGTCAAGACTTTCTCTGTGTTCTTTGATCTTGATTTCTACAAAGTCAATTATCTTTTGTACCAGAGCGAATATCCTGTGGTGAGGTCCAGGCAGCCACTTAACCAGCCAGGGGAATGAGTTATAAGCCTACAGAGGTAAGTACCAGATCATCTGAGACTCAGAAAATAGTTGACAACTTGAATACAGACACAGGTCAGTGTTTCCCCTTGAATTTTTTCAGGCCTGGTGGTACGCACAAAAAGGCGAGCAGGATGACATATTGACAATCTCCTTTAAGCCTTTTCCTGAGATCTGTTTGCCCAACCAAAACTTAAGATTCGTCTGTGTTTAAATTCTTAAATTTAGTGATCATCAAGGCAAAGTTCACAAGCTTTCAAGAAGTATATTAAGTCATTAAAAAGAGCTCCACCTTTAAGATCTACAACATTAAAGTGATGAACACAGTAATGCATCAATAATTATAATCGCTTGTGTGTTAATAAGCTCCAGCTCTACAGTAATTTCAAGGGACCCTGATTGCAGTGGCACTTTCCCAGGCAACCAGACAGAGGTTGACTCATCTTTCAAAACAGCACTGCACAGATCCATAAATGCAAAAGGATTCTGAAAGATTAGATATTTGTTGTTATTTTTGGCATTTAAAAGAAATAGATATTTCTGGCGGGTGTTCTGTACTATAATAGGGGAAACACTGCAGGTCGAGGTTACAGATTTCATTTTTTGCCTTCATTGGGTTTTTTATAAAACAGACTAAATTACAATAAATAAATATTGTTATATAAAATTACATGTACTGTGATAGAGGATGGTATCCATATTGCCCAACCCTAAACAGAGCAAAACACGTCACAGTGGGAAAATCACAGCTGTAAATAATCAAAATAATGATGGCTGAATTCCATTAAGCTGATTCAAGGTCAGGGTGCTGGTATTGTTTTTGACAGGTCAAAATGTCACAATACAACAGTTAGTGATCATATCTGTCTGGTTAAAGGTTTTTTCTCAACACTAGGTGGTAAAAGAGAGGACTCTTTGATATGTGACAGAAGTCCACTTTAATGAAGTCCAAACTGTCTCCACCTCTACCTGATACACATGAATGTAGTCAAAATCCTAATGTTAAATAAGATTACTGCGTGCAGCATCTTGTTTATAAAGGAAGCTCACCTGTGCCAACAAACTTCCCTGTAAGAGCACTAACTCATTGAAATGCTGAAGAATACGCTGGAACTTCTCATCAGTGTACTCAAAACGATGCCCAAACACCAGGCAGCAGACGACATTGGACACAGCATTGTTGATCAGTGACAGGTCATCAAAAGGTTTGCCTATAAAACAAAATTAATACACATGAAATTAAAACATAAAATGTGTGATGATCCGCAGGCAGAAGTACTGTGATATGCTGATTAAGTGTGACTATGATTAAGGATGACAGACATGTTGTTATAAAAGATATATGTACAGAGTTCCTGCCACTGCCAAAATGAAGCAAACAGCAGCTGTCCCCAATGAAGCAGGGAAACAGAGTGACATGCACGTGGTCTAAGGTGCATGGTCCAAAGCTCCATGATGCTGGTGCATGCTTCTGTGTTGCGAAGTTGGAGCAAAATGCAGGGTAAAGGGAAATCACAGGTTCGTGTAATGAACAGGTAATAAAGATAAATGTGTTGAGGTAATAAAGCATATGGCTATATAGCTTGATGAGATAAAGCATGAGCTGATTATGTTGCTTGTAGAAAAATAAGATCAGTTTTGTGCCTTGCTGAAGGGCGAAAGCCTCAGTGAGATATTGGCACTCCTGCTGGATGGATGGCTCCAGAGTCTTCTTGCCAACACCAAAGTTTCGGAGTGTATGAAGAGCAAATCTCCTCTGCTGCTTCCATAGATTGCCATTTGACATAACCAGACCTTTTGGAAACACAAATCAGCATTAGACCAGAAGTAACTAGAAATATAAGTAGTAAGATATAAAAAACTCACAACTAGCTAAACACTAATATGGTGTCAGTCTGATACAACTACCTTAACTGAATTATTTGGCTTTTTAAACAAAATACAACACTACCTTTATTCTTAGCGAATGCTTCAAAAAGCGGTATGACGGGGCGATCTGTGAAGTCCTCTCCTTTCTCGACCAGGGCCTCTCTCACAAGCTTGTATCCATTAATGACCACAATCCTTCCACCAAAGAGACGAAGGCTGAAAATCTTCCCATATTTCTCTGCAAACTGAACACAGGAAGCAGATTGATGTTTTGGTTCAACACTGAGCTGATGTACTCAGATCTCAACAAAAAACAAACAAACATGTACCTGTGGGTCACAGCTTAATTATCTGGATTTTACTGCTTTCTTTGAC